GGTATAAACATAAAAGAAGAAAAATTATATCCTTTGAAATCATCAGTTTATAGGACTTTAGCCAATTTGGTCCAATTTCAGTACTGTGGAAGAATCTTCAAAATTCAGTCCAAATTTGAAATTTCATTAATATGATGGAGCAGTTTAGTCTTGTAATGTATTTTAAGGCAAGGAACAAATAGAAAAAAACCACAAAAAATCATATGCTTTGAAATCATCTCAATACTGAACTTTAGCCAATTTGGTCCAATTTCAGTAATTTGGAAAACATCTGTAAAATTCAGTCAAAATTTAAAAATTCATTCTGGGAAGTTGCCATTTAGTCTGGTTATGTGTATTTAGGCAAGGTATAAACATAAAAGAAGAAAAAATTATATCCTTGATATCATCAGTTTATAGGACTTTCGCCAATTTGGTCCAGTTTCAGTAATTTGGAAGAAATCTTTAAAATTTAGGCAAAATTTAAAAATTCAATCTGAAATGTTGCAGTTCTGTCTGATTATGTGTATTGAAGTGAGGAGTATGTATTAAAAAAGAAAAGAAAATCCATTGGAATCATCAATTTATGGGATTTTAGCTAATTTGGTCCTGCATCACATACTTTATTTTTGTCATTTCAGGTTTCCTCATGTTGATGGAACAGATTTGTCCACATTCAGAAGCTTCCTAATAGTAATGCAGAAGTTCTCCATGTTGTAGTGGTTGGACATGTGTTGAATTGAATCATGTTCCAATATTACAGCTGGTTAAGTGCTGTATTAAACGTCATGACATCTTCAATATGTAATTCAGGAGCAACAACATCCACATCTGAGAACATCTTGTATCCTACAGTGAAGAGAGAGATAAGTGATAGAAATATATTCTTTGAATATGGCTTCTTCATTTGTGAAAAAATTATGCTAATACTGGCAGTACAAAGTTTAAGTATCACTTTCATTTCAGTAGAACATCGAATAAAGTATGATTTCATTGCATTTTAAGCTCACCTTGACAACATTAAAGTGAGCTTTTGTTATGGGGATTGGGCCATCGTCTGTTCCTATGGGTCTGGCACCAACAAAGTAAGGTTTTCATTTTGAAACTATCCTCTTTATATTTCAGCTAGACACTTATCTCGCCACACTTATCTTCTCAAAATCTACTAACTTTCAAAATTCCAGAGTTTGAAAGTACAGTTATGATATGTTTCTCCACAACAAAGATGGATTTTGATTTTGAAAAAATCAATATGTTGGTCATAGCAGGATGTTGATGGGTTTCACTGCCATTATGCCTACTGACAAATAAACTTAGCTTACCCATGTGAAAATGAACTGGTCTAGAAAGTAGAATAAGACCACTTACATGGAATATTGTGAAAATAAAATGTTAAACATTCACTTCACTGACACAATGACAATTTATAGAGAAATGGTCTCCTACTGATAACATCATGAACCAAGGTCGTGTCTTCATGATTACACTTTTTGTAGTGTTGTGAACATTTTGAAGGTAACACATTATGAAAATGTATAAAAACAAGATATGTAGGTAAAATGCACACAACTTAGTACATTTGTAATTATGTTCTCTTAGCATAAAAAATAATAATAATAATACCATCAGTGAAATATGTTGTTGTGAAGCTGAAAACAAACCATTTATGATGATGAGCATAAAAATTATCAGAAGAAAAAGAAACTTATTTTGTTATTATGGCACAAACAAACAAACTATACATAATGGGTTACTAAAAATACAACATCCGGTCATAGGCAAATGATTCATAAAAAACATAATGGCATCATTAAAATGGTGTGTGGAAATTACATACATGTACATTCATTTGAAGCTACATAGAAATATATTGATTGTACTCCTGCATGACATGTATTCTTGCATTTCTTTATGCATGTTTATACATGTACAAGTGAGAACCTATATTTGTCAATGGTTCTATTCCTAATCTGCCTACCTTTAGACAGGTTAACTAACTTAGTCAGGAGGGGTGACCGGTGGTAACTAGCATTTACTCAACTGTATGGTGTGTTTGTTTAACCAGTAGGCATAATGGGAAGGCAACGCTCATGGTTGTTTGAAAAAGAATTGAAGTTTGGCTAGATTCTTGGTCATTAATGATGTCTACCAGTTTAAAATTTGTTAATGGTCATGTCAAGCTTTTTTTCTTTCTGGAAATCATCTTGGTTTATCAGGGATTGTATTTATTATATCTTTTCTAAAAGGATGTGGGCTTTCCACTTTAAAAATATAGTATGCCTTAAAACAAAATTCAGTATGGCTGCTATGACACCAGCTTTTAGCTATGCTTGTAGAAGAAATAATAGTTTTTTCAAATTACTTTGTCATTAACCAGTCATTGCCTTCAGAATTGGTGTACAGCTTCTTCTTATGATTCTGACAATAATAGAGGATATTTCAAGTTTCGCAATGTCCTTTATATTATATGCTATTTTTATGAAAATTACACATTCAAATGTGCTGATCACAGTACAAATTTTCCCAACATCGCATCTTGTTGCAACATCTTATCATTGTCAGTGACATCACGAAATTGTTCAAGTGATGTCATGTGATTGTTTCGGTGTCATCATGCTATTGTACTTGCTGTATAGCAGCGATATCACACAATTGAATTCAGTGCAGTGACGAGAAAAATTATATTTCACTGCAGTGAAAATATCACTTTTTGTCTTAGACAGAGAAAACACAGTATTTAACTACTTTTCATATAATAAGATTAAAATTTCAAACACCCAAGTTTTGATATGCTGAAATACCCTGATTTCAATGATTATGAGTGAGAGATAATTGACATAAAGCAGCGTTAGAAATTGGCACTATTCCTGTAGTTCTTGCCAAACTGCCCAATGGTTAAGGTATCATAAGGACTAGTAGAAATTTGCCGTTTATAAGGCTTTTGCTACTTGTTATCAAGGACTAGTGGACTAAAACTGTTAGTTTCTACCCCTGTAAAGTGTTTAATGGCCTCTGACAAGGGGTGACTAGTGCATCATACACATACATTTAGAATGTATTCACCTCATGCTGTTAGTGAGATCTACCCAAAATTCTATAGTGAGTTTTTTTTCATGGGAGAATTTCTGCTTTCATTATCTGATTAATATTTTAAAAATTAAATGTTTCTATCATTACTGAAAGATTTTGCTTCATGTCTTACAGGGGCGGTCGGGTTGCCTAGTGGTTAAAGCGATCGCTCGTCACGCCGAAGACCCAGGTTCGATTCCCGACATGGGTACAATGAGTGAAGCCCATTTCTGGTGTCCCCCGCCGTGATATTGATGGAATATTGCAAAAAGCGGCGTAAAAAACAATACTCACTCATGTCTTACATGTTATATGTAAGGATGCTGCACTATGGATCCTCTCTGAAATGATTTCATTACCAGAAAGTTATTTCATTTGTGCCAGTTCACAGAGATCAAGCACTGTAAATTTCTTTATAAGTATCAAATATTCAAGCTTTATCAATTAGGCATAATATTCTCAATGAAAAGAAAAGATGTGTTTAATTAAACATTTGTTTTTCCATCAGGACATCACATTCAAGATCATATACCTAGCTAATCTAACATTGTAACTAATGTTATATTTGGGATAACACTTTCTTAGTAAAGTACAGATTCTAGTAAGTTGTCGGACTTTCATTTTTGTGGAAGCCTCGGTGGCTGAGTGGCTGACTTTGTGTGCTGGCGATTAGGTGCCTCACCCTGGCAGGTGTGGGTTCGAATCCTGCACGGGACTCAACCCCCCCAAAGTACTAAAAGTACTAGAATCTGTACTTTACTCAGAAAGTGTTATCCCAAATATAACATTAGTTACATTTGACCACTTTCTAAATGGCATTGTGTATTCATAAACTAACATTCTTTTATTAAAACCAAAATGAGAACACTTTAGTGTTGAAACCACGGGAAAATGACACCTATGTTTTATGTGCTTTTATTTTATTTTCCCAATGAGTATGCTTATGAAGTGCATCTAAATATTATTGTCTTAGGTGTCTCATAGGCCTTATGGCTGAATATTGTATATTTTTTAACAATGAATATTGTTACAGTGAACTACATGTAAAGGGGCACTGATCTAACGCAATTCCCCGGACTGGTTGTTGCCTTTGTTATTGTTTTTTCCCCCGTGAGTACCCGGATGATACGCAACGCAACTGAGCGTGACCAGAGACTGGTCTACCGTCTGCAAGGACAGCAAATAAACTTGGAGACTGGAGGCAATATTTGTTTTACGCATTTTTGCATAAACACTGATTGGTTAACTGTGATCTATAAAGATTTCGACAAAGGGCGCATGTTAATTAATTTCTTCAGCCTAAACAAACAGACAAAAAGAACGGCGGAGCTCATCGGATGTCGTCATTTGGAAATACCCCAGATGGTTATAGTTTAATAATAAAAAAAGGTATCCATGCAGTGAAAGCATTCTCAGATTTCAGATTGCGTCGATAATACGATTGCTACTCCCTTGTTGTCATCCACGTTTTCTCGTATAACCCTACACTTGTGTATTTGTCGTCATTCCCTTGATGCTCAGTTAATGAATTTATTACAGGTACAATTAGTGGTAGCATCACTTAGATTACCTGACAAAGGTTCCCATTTGGCATTTATTGTGTCTGTGGTAATTATTCAATCTAAATCTAGGTTTGAAGTGAGGTGAAATGTGTGTTATGTAATGTGCACGTGTCAGACCAGCAAGAGGTGAATGATCAGTTGATTTACTTTTTTTTGTAAATCAACGGATCGTTCCTAGTCATCAAAGGATTAACAGAAAATACGTTGATTGATTAATCACTTTTATCTTGCACAGTGGATATGTCAAAAGTGAGTGTTTACATGTCTAGGTTTACTAAAACAAAGGGAATACACTCATACTTTGGCGTGAAGTGCCGATGTAAAAACAACATACTTTGTTCAAAGGGTTAACTGATAATACGTTGATTGATTGATCATTGTTATGTATCACTCAATGGATTTTTCAGGAACCGTAGACGTTATGAAAATAGTTGTCACGTGGGCTTTCTCAGCCGACCCTTGAGACTTGACACCTAGGCTCCCCAAATTGGGAGCCTCCTGGTCCACACTCCCAGTTCAAATTTTTGCCTGTAAAGCCCAATCTTTGTGATTTCTGCAGGTATTTACAGAAACATGATGGACAACCAAGCAAATGTCATCTGGTTGCATTGTAAACATAAAATTATGCCAATTATGTGACTAGATTAGTCTTTTGAGGAGAAAATGTGGTACAAAATTAGCCTAAAAAGGCCAAAATTGGCCAGCTTCAAAGACAATTTTCAAGTAACCAAGCATTCTCTTATATCAAAGTTCAACCATTTTTCTCTCTGTTTCAATGGTTTTTATCATGGTTCCAAACTCAGTGTTGGTGTGGGAATGATTAAAAGAAATTCTACTTTGGGAGCGTCCACACTCCCACTTTCACCACTGATTGTCACTTCAATACGGATTAATCATGTTAATACTAAAATTACTTTAATTTACTATTCAGGTTCACTTCGAGTCACAGCTGATTTCTTTGAAAACAAGGTGAGATATTACCATGTATTACCATTACACATGTATCTGTAGAAACCATAGTACATCTAGCTGCAGAAACCATAGTACATCTAGCTGCGGAAACCATAGTACATCTAGCTGCAGAAACCATAGTACATCTAGCTGCAAAAACCATAGTACATCTAGCTGCAAAAACCATAGTACATCTAGCTGCGGAAACCGTAGTACATCTAGCTGCAAAAAACATAGTACATCTAGCTGCAAAAAACATAGTACATCTAGCTGCAAAAAACATAGTACATCTAGCTGCGGAAACCATAGTACAACTAGCTGCGGAAACCGTAGAACATCTAGCTGCGGAATCCGTATACCAGCTGCACATATTGGGGTAGTAATTATAGGGTGCAACATCACAGAGTTATGGTTTCTGCAGCCAGACTACATCTTATGCTTAAACTTAATTATACATATCTCTGACATTAATTATGTTTGATTTGTCATAACACTAATCAGACTATCCAGAATTCCCAACTACACTCAGCTGCCAGCTAGACTTTCTTAATGAGTTCAACTCAGATCCCCCTGTTTCCTACCCTGCAGTACCTTGTCTTTGCTATCATGGACAGGCTGAGTGAATAGTTGTTGTTTTAGATTTAGGACTTTATAAATTTTGATTTTTTTTTAGTTTCCATGGCAACAAGTTGGACTTAACATTAATATGAGGGTGGGGTTGGTTCGCGGAGTATAACTGAAAAAACGTTCAATACTTTCTAACAAAACTTAGCATGTCTACCAGGCACATTCTGAAATGGTGCCTTTTAATATTTAGAAATTTTTGAATGTTTTTTTTTTTTAACATTTTTATGGCAACAAGTTGGACTTAGGTTCTATGAGGGTAGGGTTCATTTCCAGAAAATAACTGCTAAACCATTTAGTATTTTGAATCAAACACATACTGAACTGGTGCCTTTTGCTATTCAACAATTTTAGAACGCTTTATTTTAAGGTATTCATGGCAGCTCTTTGAACTTGGGCTTAAAGAAATGTTGGGTTAGTTTACCTGGTTTCGGACCATTACATGTTAAGGTTGGCAGGGAATATAGATGACTTCGTCGACTATATGCTTGTTGAAATTGAAACTGTTAAAGCGGAAACTGTCTAATGAATTGACTGTTAGACTTTTCTTCACAGAAATCAGAAGTTTGCAGTTACATTAAGAGGGTAAGTTCAGGTAATATACTCTATAAAGTACATGGCCATGGGGAATGATCTGAAGTCCTAAAAATGCACATCACATCTGGCCAAAATAAACCAATTCATGTATGTATCCTTTCCTTTTATATAACACTGTTGTTGATATTCCTGTATATCACATTGAAAGTTAGCAGTCACATATACACCAACATCACACAACATAGTCAATATAAAATGAATGTGGCATTCTTGAGGCACTTTTGTCTTTACAGTGGGGACAAGGACGTGGTGAGAGACAACTGGTTTGTTACCAAGTATACCTACCATGAAGTCAAGGCTGGATTTGGGTCAGATTTTGTGTCTGCTGAAGTAAGAAAATGAATTCATATGTACAGCTAAATTTCATTAAAGTATGAGAATGATAATGTTCACAATTAAGTCCTAAGTCCACAATTTAGTAAAGAAAATTTCCAAAATTTCATTGTTGAAAAAGTTTCAATCCCATGACTGTAACAATTCTTATGTTGTGATAGTAATCATCATCTTATGCAATAAACACAATGTACATGTTCTCTTTTTTCTGACATACACTTTTCTGCATATAGGTAAAATATAAGTGTTCATGAAGATTAAAGTAAAATGTTTGGGGGAAAAAATGGCAAATAGTTGATGATATCAGTTGCTCAGGGAATTGTACTTTATACATGGCAAAACAAATTTCAGATGTATGGGCACATACTTCAGTGGCTGGGGCAATCCTTGACACGCCGTCTAGTGAGAGATAAACGGTAAGAATAATGGTGAATAGTGTAGATTCTTTTCTAAAGTCCCCAATGGCACAAATTTAAAATCAGTGTAAATTCACAGTTTTATGCATGTTGTTTTGAGCATATATTTACCAGTGTTTACCAAATTGAATGAGAACAGAGTAGTAGTTAAATGTGATTAGGAAAAGTTTACATCTAAAGCATATTCACAGAAGAAGCTTATCATTTGATTAGACATACAGATGAAATTGATACATTTAAATTGCTCATGGTCTAAATTTCACATTAATGTCACTGACCACCTTTGATTCCTTTCAGTCGCCCTTACACTAAGCCAGTGACTCAGATCTTTACTGTGCCGGAACTTCCAATGGAGTACACACAGTAAGCACAGAAAATACAATTTATTATTCTATTTCTATCGGTGAAATACTGCATTTATCGGTTAAAATAAAACCTGCATCTACACTGAGTTAGATATCAAAATAAAAAAGTAAACAATGTGATGACTTAATGTGTATCACCAGGCAACAAGACGACTGACACAGTGAATGTACTGAATTTGCGAGTCATTGGTCCGGTTTTCATAAAATTCAGCAATAAGGAAGAATAGAATAAATAGAACATTTGACTTTTCCTGTCGAATACCGTGTTTATGTCATCTCGTGAAGTTGAAAAGTTTAATTTTTACACTTGCGGCTACGCCACTCATGAAAATACAAACTAGTCAACTTCACTCGACGAGATAAACACTGTATTCGACAGGAAAAGTCAAATATCCTCTATACGTGTTTGTCTCCTTCAGTTAGGAAAACAAACATGTCTGTTACATTTCATTATTGACAATTTTAGGTTATATTACCTGAAGCAGACATGTTCCAGAAATATAATAGTATGTATTATGTGTACAGGTTTGCTTGTTTGATTTCTGGTACATAGTTATAGGTACAATGTTGTTAGATACATTATTATTAAACACTCACTGGAATGAATGCTAAACAGAAACGAACCAATTTGGTGAAAGGGAACAGAAATTCAGTTATATTTTGTTAGAATATATCCCACATTGGAAAAACATTTAGTATTGTGAAAATGGAGACACCAAAGAATGAGATAATAGTCTTGTAAAGTAATAATCAAGTACAATGTAACTAGTGAAGCTACTGAAAATAAATATATTCATTGTAATTGTAAAAAACTAATTCTTTGAATTTTTGGCAAGTAAATGATTTCCAATTATTCCAGTTACAACTTACCTGGTACATTTATGAAACTGGAACTGGAGATATTTATTTTATTCTTAAAATTGAGTCTGGTTATAAATATGCTCTAATTTATTACAGGGCTGCATGGCACTGCATAGGTATGTGGCCATTAAGGAAGTAATCATATTCCTTGCTGAGAAACTGACAGGGAGAACCTACTCTTCAATCAACCCAGAGTGTCAAAGGACAGAATTGCAATCAAAAGAGCTTTAATTGCATAATTATGATGCTCCTTTGAAAGGGTTACTGTTTTAATGAATGCAGCCAACTCATTGATGCCTTGATGTGGTTTGGTTGTTCTCTGTACCTTTCTTTCATTCACATATGGACCCGTGAAGATTCCAGGGTAGAATAGGTCTTCAGCAACCATCCTTGCCGTAAAAGGCGACTATGCTTGTTGTAAAAGGCGACTAACAGGATTGGGTGGTCAGGCTCGCTGACTTGGTTGATACATGTCATCGATCCCCAATGCGTAGATCGATGCTCATGATGTCAATCACTGGATTGTCTGGTCCAGACTTGATTATTTTACAGACCGCCATCATATAGCTGGAATATTGCTGAGTGTGGCGTTAAACAACAAACAAACAAACAAATCATTCACATATGTGTATAGAACATGCCTCAGTCTCCTCCCATTGATGTATATTTCAGTTGAATATAGTAAAACCCTGTTAGTGCAGATCATTGTGTGTGTTAAACTTATCCATGTTTATGAATTTCCAAACTATTTGATGTAGCTTGTTTTGGTGAATCAATAATCGAAAAAAGAATAGGGGTATACTATAGAAACAGATCTTAACGGTTCTCCTTGTAACTAACCTGATCATAAAGAAAAGGCATGTGTATCATTATAGCAGTAAACTTGTGCTTTTAGCTATATCTGGATTTATTGAAAGTCTGTCTGTTGACATTGAAACAATTTGAACTTGGATTTAGATGGAGATGGAGAAACATGCAGAATGATTAATCAGATAGTGGACAATTGTCTTTTGCTACTGAACAATGTTTTAAGGTTTCAAGTTGTTACTTTTTCTGGAATAAAGTTTGAGTTACATTCAGTTGAGTTGAATTTCTTTAAAAGAAGAAAGAATATTAATGATATCTTCAAAACAAATTGGAAAATGATCAGTCAGATATTGTTGATGTGACTTTGGATATGTTTGAATATAGACAATTTTTTATAACTTTTTATTTTTTATTCTTATTTATGAGATTGGTGATATATTGTGAGGCTGCAGGGGGATGTGTCATATTCTCATGACTCTTGTTATCAGTGTTTGTTTAATAACATTAGCAGTTTACATTGAATGTCAAAATAAACTTTGCTAAAATATATTTAGATGTAAATTTCCTAAAAGGTGTGATTTGATCATCATATGATCATCAGTTTGTTCATTTGAAAAGCATAGCAGTAACCATTTTCAGGTTATTATCAATAATTTTGGCTGATGTCATCATTGATTAATACTTACAATTGAGTAAACCTGTTCTTAAAAAAGTTAGTAAATGTTAGTAAAACACTGGAAGTTCAACATCAAATCTTGCATATATAGTTCTTGCGCTCAGATTGTAACATGTTTTTGCAGGTTGGTGTCCATATCTAAGTCTATAGAACTTGAAAACATTGTATCTGGTTTTAATGAATTAATTTACCAAAACATGATTGTCACGTAGAGGTATTTTTTTGACTACAGGGGCTTCAATATACATTGCCATTAACTGATATTGGACATCACATTGGCCTGAACATATTTATACTATATGGGTTTATTCTGTGTAAAGTTGACTTTGTTACATGTATGTCCTTTGAAGTTAGTTAATGATTAGATTGTTTGCTTGTGATCTATTTTACAGAGTTGTCATGAATTTATTCACTTGGTATCATTTTCTTCTACTGGGTCAAAACAGATAATATTTTTCTGTTATTTTAATTATATTATTCAAATAAAAATAAGGTAGAATTGTTTGAGAATACATTGCATACAATAGTAATACAAAATATTTAAAGATCAATGAATTCTTTATGATGCAACAATAGTGTTCATGTGTGAGTGAATGAATGGTTGTGAATGTTTGTTCATGTATTTGTCCTCTGTATTTAACAAAGGCCAAAAACATTTCCACATTTAGTTTTCTGCATGTGTCTCCAACTACCCTTTTTGTAACAGATGTTTTGCCACAATTAAATGTGAATTATAAACACAATCACGTGGACGAATTTGTACCTCATCTACTTTTGTTTGAGCATGTATTATGTACATGAAATGTATTGATGGTTTCATTAGGCGAAATAGAACTCTTCTTCAATGTATATTTTAAGTCAGATTTTTTGTTACAGAGTTAGTGTATGAATGAAAGTGAGGATTGAGTAAGGATTGTAATGAGTGCTTACTGGTATGTGAAGGACTCTTCTGTTGATATTTGTTGTGAAGTAATAAAAGTTATAATTGAAATTTGTCTTTGTTTCTGAAATGACATAGAAAGATAATCTATTGTAAGTCTCACACACCGGGTTGGATGTCCACATACATAGATGCAAAGCAGTGTGGCATGAATACATATAGGTTTATTGCCTGATGGGTTAAAGAGCACATGTGCATGAAGTTTCAAATTTTAACTCACTTTCTTTGACTTCTCAAAATTACCTGATTTGATTATTTCAAAGGATATTATTTCATAAGATTTTTCCAAATTATTGAAAATAAAGTGAGGGAGTGAGTGAGTTGGGTTTGAATGTGGCTTTCCAGAATATTTCACTGATCTCACGACGTCCAGGTTTAATGTAGGAGAACCAACACCACCATGGTATTTAAGTGATGTAGTAAGACCTGGAGGACAATGCCGGTATCTGGCTGACAGAGGGTGTTATGCAGCATGCATTCGCAATGTAGCATTGCATCCTAATTTCACCACTGCTGCTGATGGGAATCAAACTCTGGATCTTCAGTGAGTGCCCTGATGAAACAAGTGGCTGAAGGCAGGCTCACCAACCACTGAGCTAACCAACCCATTCCCCTCCACCCCCAATTGAAATATGGAACACATTGGCTTAAATACTAAAATTGATGATTTCAAAGGATTTTACTTTTTCGTATGTTCTATGCTGAAATACACATAATCAACTTAAGTCAACATCACAGATAAAGTTTTCAAATTTAGACTGAGATAATATTATTTTTTTTCCAAATTACTGAAACTGGACCAAATTGGCTAAAGTCCAAAAATGAGGTGATTTCAAAGGATATTATTTTTATTCTTTTTTCTATTTGTTTCTTTCCTTAAAATACATTGAAAAATTCAACTGCTCCATCATAAAATGAAATTTCACATTTTGACTGAATTTTGAAGATTTTTTCACATTATTCAAATTGGACCAAATTGGCTAAAGTCCCATAAACAGATGATTTCCAAGAATATAATTTTCTCTTCTTTTATATGTATACCTTGCCTAAATACACATAACCAGACTTAATGGCAACATCCCAGAATGAATTTTTAAATTTGGACTAAATTTTGAAGACTTTTTCACAGTACTGAAATTGGACCAAATTGGCTAAAGTCCCATAAACTGACGATTTCCAAGAATATATTATTCTCTTCTTTTATATGTATACCTTGCCTAAATACACATAACCAGACTTAATGGCAACATCCCAGAATGAATTTTCAAATTTTGACTGAATTTTACAGATTTTTTCACAGTACTGAAATTGGACCAAATTGGCTAAAGTCCCATAAACTGATGATTTCCAACACTAAATTTGGACCAAATTGGCTGAATCCCCGTGTTATTGTTAGATTCCTTATATGTTGCATATCTACGATGAAACTGTAATTTCTATGTGAGCCATATTATTTATGTCAAAATCTAAGACCGAAAAACAAAACTTGTGTCATTACTTCTGGCGGTAAATGGTATTCTCTTATCAAGAAAGTGATAAAATCTACTTCAAACACGATATACCTATGTTCTGTGAGAAAACTTAACGCACACTCGCAGTAAATATATACAGTCCGTTTGAAGTTGCACGCATAGTTACAGGATTACCAAAACACATACTTGAAACAGGATGGAGCACTGTTCAGAGAGAAGAAAACATCGCTAACTTTGCATATTACATAAAAGTTACATGATAAAGTCACCACATATATATTTACGTGACCCTTTGTATATTACTGTTTAGACGGGGACTTCATAAAAAATTAGCAATGCGTGTAATATTAAAAAACATATATTTTATTTCCTTCATCTTAAAAAATGTGAAGCGATGTACATATTGGAGAAGGGGACTAGTCAACCCGTACTTTCAACAACCCGTAACCCATACCTGAGATTTTGGCTTACCCATACCTACATTTGGCTGATCCGTACTCAAATTGGCCGACCCGTACCTAAAATTGGCTGACCCGTCCCCAAATTCGGTTAAGCCGTACCTAAAATTGGCTGATCCGTACCTATACATTTGGCTGACCCGTACCCTATAGACGTGTTTGTTATTAGAAAACAAAGTGGCGGAGAAACAGGATTGTTTTAACCAGAAGAGACAAAGGAAAACATACAAAAAAGTGTTTGATGCACATATTCATTCAATTTCATTCAATTCATACAAATTTATACTTCAGTCTCGGTGAATGACATCGACCTGACGTAGACAACATCATACTTATGCTAACTTTCGTCCAAGAGACCAGTTTGTGAAATATATCGGATGTTGTTTTCAGTAATTCCGACTGCCTTGAAGCTAGCCATTGTTATTACAAACTACCTATCGGTAGCGATTGGCTTATTCAGTTATTAACATGCTTTTCATTCAGTTAACTAAACATGGCAGTTTTCAGATTATCAAAAGTTTAGCGTTTTATAAAAAATCTCATTATTTTGATAGTAAATGTCAACAATGAGTGTTTTACAAATTGGCTCAATCAATTAAGTGAACTTCCCGCTTTTGTTTAAGCATATTGGGTCAAGAAACTCTTGAGGGTCATGTCGATGTTAGATAAAACTATGTCTTTGTGTTGAATATTAGTATTAATAATATCAATTTCTATTGGGTACGGGTAAGCTTTTTCAAGGCAAGGGCCACTGAGTAAGGGTTATTGAAACATGGGTACGGGTAAGCCAAGAGATGTTTTCCCGCCCTCTCACTAAACTGAAGAGTAATAAACAAACAAACCACGTGAAATAAGAACATACAATATATAATAAAATCAAAACAAAAATTGTCTGCGAGGTCTGTCATGAGATAACTTCAAAAGGAATGTCCACTGGACGACGAGGTCATTGTTTGCGTCAGTAACACAAATTGTACATAGATTTGAACTAATAATAAATGTCTGTGTAGGTAACACCTATACAAATATATTTTCAAAAGAGATTGAATTTCCAAAAATATCTATCAATAATCTCCATTTGTACTTCCCCGTCCTTGTGTTTACACTCCTTAATTTCTGAACATTTCCTAACAGTGTATTTATATTTCGTGTAAATATTGTTAATGAAAGTTATATACCCAAGTTGAAATAAGTTGTGCCCAATTTAAATATAAATATGTTGAAACAACACAGAAGATATATATCCACTGCCCTCCACTGGACAGACTTGCGGTGTTTTTCTTATGATTTTTTCAAATATATTTTCATCATTTAACTGGATTTGGGCGACAGTATAAAAAGACAATTAAGTTATTTTGTTTAAGACGTCGATAAGAATTAAGGACTGACGCGTTGATGCCCCAGAAACATTTTACTTGTTAGACTTACGGCAGAAGTTACACATATAACAACTCTTTCACCTACGTGGATTTTCGAAAATCGCGAAAATATAATGATTGTTACAATACAAATAGTGTTAACTCATATAGGAATAATTCGCTTTCGATGCAGTAGTCCCATTCCCACTTTACACTTGTGCTAAAATATCTCATGACATTATTATTATTTTTCTTACAAAATATATGTTTAAAAAATGGCAATAAATATCATTTTAGAAGCAACAAATAGCATAAGAGAAAAAGAAGAAAGTTTGACATATCTTCATTAAATACAATCTACTTTGTTTGGAAACAAATTTTATAAAAAGACACACAAACTTGACATGAATGTTCCTGGAGAATGACCTCATATGTTTACTTTCAAACTTCGAATCTGAAAGCAAACACAGGATTTGTAACTGCCTGTACAGAAAAGGCACTTGCATGATTTATTCAATGTCAATTTCGTTTCCGTTTACCAATGCAACATTTTAATGTTCGGGCTACGATATCCGCCATTATGGATTGGTCACTTCGCTTTCAGCATGCTGTCGGCTTGTTTAAATCAGAGACTCTCAGATAGCGTATTTTAGTCGCTATTTATCATTATATATAATAAAATAATATTTATGAAAACGTTGCGAGATTTTTTAATATTGATTAGAAAAATTGGTCCGGCTAGTCAAATTGGTCCTCTACAAACGTCCGACATCACACGGCAAGACTGACAACATTTTTTTTTCAGGAATCATAACATCCAGGTCCTGCCTTTGCCCTTCAGGTCTTCATATTTAAACCCAGTCGAACATTTATGGGATATACTGGATCAACGACTGCGAGCACGACAGCAACAACCACATAACCTCTGACAGTTGGCACTGCTTGCAGAATGGGTGAACATTCCCTAAGGCACAATTCGGGATCTGATAGCTTCCATGTGAAGTCAGTTTTGGTCTCGAATGGTGGCCATAACATATATTGAGAACACAGGACTTTCATCTTGAAAATCTACTGTTCCTTGTGTGCGATATGGAACCCGGGTCAATGACAATGATAAGCGTCAATTTTTAACAATCAATAACCATGTGTTGACCTTTTATGTGATATATAAAATATACATCTAAAATAATTTTTGTGTTTCTTTTTTACAGAGTATATGTAAGTCAACTTCCCGTATTTTGAAGATATATGTATCAATTTCTGAAAAACCCCGTTGAAAAGTAATATGGTAACAACGGCATATCTACAGTGATAAATGTATTCTTTATTGCTCATGTAAGTGCAAACACAAACTAAACGTGAATTATGTATGTGTACAGGGCTAAATGTGAATTACAATTACAGCATAAATTTCTTGATAACCATTATCACGTTTATTAACTAATATATTACTTCAGCCTGAAGGTGCTAGTATGCTGCAAGATAGTGTTATGGAAGAAAGATTGATTATTTGCATATACATCTAATGCAATGGGTACATCTGACTCTTATACAGGCGTTTTGTTTTGTAAAAGATTCTCTCTTATTATTATAGCAATATGTTAAATTATATTTTCATGCTAAACACTGGAGCTATTCTTCTCAGACAGTGTCCCCACCTCTACTCCAGATGCTACATCCACTGTCTCCACCCCTACTCCAGATGCTACATCCACTGTCTCCACCCCTACTCCAGATGCTACATCCACTGTCACCACCCCTACTCCAGATGCTACATCCACTGTCACCACCCCTACTCCAGATGCTACATCCACTGTCACCACCCCTCCTCCAGATGCTACATCCACTGTCACCACCCCTACTCCACTCATGCCCACCGGGAGCTCCCGTCACAGACAATGCAAAGGCATGTCAATTGATCACTTGAAACATGAGAACATGATGGTACAGGTCCAAAATAGAGAATTGCATCAGACATAATGTTATCACTGATGCGTCAAATTTGGAAATGCACTAGCATAAAACAGTTGCTAGTCTTGGTGGGCTCAGAAATATGATCATACCCTTATGAAAACCCTGGACAACATTTATTGTTTGCTTGCTATTGCCGAATAGGTTTACGTATAAATAGTATTCATGCAGGAAATCAAGTTAAGTTTATTTTATTTCTCATACTGTCATTTGTTCTATATATCCCTAAACGTGTACTAGTATATATGTTTCAATGGATATAGTGGATTTTTATTATACGTATTATTAAACAAATATCGCCGCACTCAGCAATATTCCAGCTATATGACGGCGGTCTGTAAATAATCGAGTGTGAACAATCCAGTGATTGACATCATGAGCATCGGTCCACGCAATTGGGATCGATGACATGCATCAACCAAGTCAGCGAGCCTGACCACCCGATCCCGTTAGTCGCCTCTTACGACAAGCATAGTCCCTTTTACGGCAAGTATGGGTTGCTGAAGAACTATTCTACGCCGGATCTTCACGTGTCCCACGTAATTGGGATGCCATCGTATCCCAATTGCGTGGATCGATGCTCATGATGAAACCGAAATTCTGAAATATTTCACTGTAAACGTGTTTGTGGTTGTTATTCGTCAATACTTCTTTGAATATAGCATAGCTGTATATAGCTGTTTGTGAATACATTCCATAATGAGATCTGTAAGTGATGATAACATGGATGGTCCACGCAATTGGGATACGATGACCTGCATCAACCAAGTCAGATGGTCCTTGTTGATGTCCTGCCAAGCACTGGAGTAAGAAGCCTAGGAACCAAGCGTGTTGAAATCTTTTCCATGCCTAGTTCATTCCTCAGAATATTGTAAACTTTCTCCTGAGAGATGTCAACCGTAGTGTCTGTGTGACGTGTGGTAAATCGTCGACCACTCATGGTCATATCATTTATACACAATTTCCTTATTAGTGGGAGTTGAAGGTCTTGTCTTACTCTCTTGAACTCCGCTCCCCACCTCTTACCCGAGCAAAGGGAGGAGCATTATCCCCTAAAGTTGCCACCATGTCCATGTATATGGTTATTGGAGTTATCAGCACGCTTGCCAATATTGTCCATTGACACAACAGAGAATACCTAGTCTCTTTGATACCTGCAGACATATGCTGTCTGGGTGTGTATTTGGTTTTAGTGTAAGTATGGAAAGTAGTGTGGCCTGTGAAAGCAACGCCCCACACACTTGGGGTACGAGGATAAAGTCGCCGAAGCCAACCACTTGATTCATTGAGCCGTCTTGCACAACACTCCCGGCAAACTGTGACTATTTCTACACTGTAGTCCTGATGGGTCTCCCTCCTTCTAGGCCTAGAATTGCATGATTCAACAATATGTTGTAAAAACAGATACTTATGGTGCTAGCTGAGTAGATGTTTCAATATCAAGATATTGTTTATATAAACCAGCATATGGATATGCATACTTCCATGTAATATATATACCTGCATCGTCGGCTGCGACGTCAATGATGTCAAGGTCACCATACAAGATACTGAAAACAGACGACCTTCACCTTTAAAATCCTTTTTCCATGCGTTCCATATGGAAGCTTGGTCAATGCAATCAATTACTATCTTATCTTTTGATAATGTATGTGATATATAAAATCTACACCTAATATCACTTTTTCGTTTCCTTTTTGGCTGAGAATACCCACGTATACCATACCTTCGTTGCTCGTACGTCAATTTAGATATAGCAGATTGGTTATACGACTCATGTAGGTCGGTGTAAAACTATCCAACAAGGAAGTTGGCACATTGCCGTTTGCTGACTGCGACTGGGTAGGTGTTTAGTATGGCAGGTGAGTGATTTTCATGGTAAACCCGTTTCTTACATTCTTTCCTCGATCTCTACATGTTGCTCATAGTTGCCCACGTAATTATATAAAGGAAATTTGTAATCAGATTTTCTTCAGATTTGCTCTATTTAGGCATATCCGTAGTGGATACACAAAACGTCCTAATACAGGCATATCCTGTCATATTCCATCACAGGAACACTGCAGCAACCTTGTCCTCACTTGGTCCTGGACCCTGGGGAGATACACGTTCCAAAACCACACAACTGTAATTAATCAAACATTTATCTTGTGGGGACTCCGTCACGGGCTAGTTCACCAGTATCCCATGTTTGGCCAAAATGTGGACTAATAAGAATCGGATGGTTACAATGTGTGACCACAGCATGGGCCATAGGTCTAATTTGTCAAGCAATTAACTGTCGTTCTAGTGCTTGATTACCCCGTGAAGGTCCGGGTTAGGTTTGGCCTTCAGCAACCCATGCTTGGCATGAAGGGTGGTCAAGGGATCGGGTGCCTTGGTTGATGCATGTCGTCAAATCCTAATTTCTTAGATCGATGTGAATCATTGGATTGTCTGGTCCAGACGCGATTATTTACAGACCGTCGTCATAAAGCTGGAATATTGCTGAGTGTGGCGTTATGCAACATATAAATACTTGTTTTTTTACAGGTCGCCTGAAATCGATGTACTGTTCTCCTACAACATTAAATGCATAGGTTTTGATGAACGCTAGGTCATGAGAACTTAATATTTCATGTGTATAATATTAGCGACTCTTCCTAACGCTACCATTATGTTGCCAACGTCGACCTCTCGTTTGCATTTGCGTCATTGAGATCCCACAACCTTTATGCAGCAAAAACTCGTCGCAGAACCAGCTCAACATTGCAGGGTGTTGAGTTTCTGTATGTTAGACCTGGGTCATGCATTCGTTCCATGCTGAATGTTTATAGTTCCAACAATGAAATTATATATTTGGTGCATCAAATGACATCATATTCATATTTTTATACGGTAATGTCTTCATATATGTATATCAATATATTTATTCATTTTGGAGTGAGTACATTTCTGACTGGAGCGTAAACCAACATTAGTGAGTGAGTGAGTTGGGTTCAACGCCGCTTTTAACAGTATTCCAGTTATATCACGGCGTGTCAGCTTAATGTGGGAGGAAAGTCCGAAGTGATGCAGGTCTCAGACGTTTACCACTTTGCTGAAACCCACAAGCACGGGTATGGTGCTGACAAACCTAGAAACATAATCGGGGCGAACTGGGATTCGAACCCACAGTCATAGGTTTCTGTCGTGCCCAAGGGACGCAACTCTGTACAGCAAATCACAGCGCCTTAGACGACTGGGCTTCCCGTGCCCCCCCCCCCCCCCCCCCCCCCCCTCTATATACACTAGCCAGGTGTAAATGGTGTTACACCTTATTTCGAATTATGTTTCTCGCATTGCAATTATTATATACAGACGTTGTTATCGCAGGGACGCACATGGCACGGGCTGACAAAATAATCTCAAAGTCTAGCCAGCAGTTGTTCTAGGTCACCGAATGACAGAATGTGTATTCAGACAACCCTAAAACAAGGACATGTGTTAGTGACAGTCGGACTACTGTTCATAAGGCTGTCACGTTTGTTCAGTAGACGACTGTGATTGTTGATACGGTTGCTATGTTTGCTAAATCCCCCGCTTATACTTCGTTGACAGTAGTGTACTCTTTAACCTTCAGTACTTAGACCAGCTCTACTAGTTGCATAGTTTATACTATAGCGGACTACCTGCGGCTGTCACATGAGACAGCACACAGTTGTATAAAACCTGTTTCCATATATCAGGTGCTGACGGGACAGATCGTATTCGATCGAATAGTTCAATGTCCAATGCTAACCATACAACCGTGCTGTTTATCAATTGTTGATATAAACACGCACATCAAGTGGTTCAATAAGTTGACTACTCTTGAGATACGTGAGGAATAACACGTGCATTCACGTATGGGACGGCAACTATACAAGCTGTCCGCGAGTCTCCACTTGGCGGGTCGAGGGCTCTCCGGTTTGCCCTGAATATGGTTTTACGGTTGTCAGCACCATACCCGGCCTCGTGGGTTTCAGCAAAGTGGTAAACGTCTTAGACGTGCATGACGCCGGGCTTTCCTCCTACAGGCCGCAACAGCGGCGTTAAACCCAACTCAACCACTCACCCGGAGAGCGGAAGGTCCGGGGTTTGATCCCCGGCCGCGTCATACCAAAAGAAGCTAAATGAGGTGTCATTGTCGGTAACTTCAGCAGTTTAATTAAACTGACGGCCAAAAGAAACTTTACCAACTGAAAATAGAAATTTCTGACAAAGTATCAATTTTGTTTCGATGGAGTCTATCTAAAACACATAACCTAAATACAACACTAGTGTATGCAGAAAATGTTAATCGTCTGTTACATGTTTGCGAGATAACACGCGAAAACGTGAAAAACACGTGCACCACGGACAACTGCAAATGCACGTTTGGGTAAGGGTATAAAACGATTGCAACGGCAAGTCAGACATCCACAGTTATCAAAAAACACAAAAGAAATGCCACGACTCACAGTCGGACAACGTGAACGAGCCTTGGGTATGGTACAGATGGGAGTCACCCACGCCGCTATTGCACGAACCTTCGGTTTTTCCCGTGTTGCCGTTACCAACTTGATGCAACGTTACAGACAGACAGGGCGGACCGCTGACAGGCCAAGAACAGGCAGACCCAGGGTTACCACGCCCCATGATGACCGCTACTTGCGTACCTGGCACCTCCGAAATCGCTTTCTGACAGTGTCGTCATCGGCGACAAACGCCTTAGGTCACAGGGTTAGTCGACAGACAGTGGCCAGGAGACTCAGGGCTCATGGAATCAGGGCTTTTAGACCATACAGAGGACAGCTATTGACAGCACAACATCGTCGTCTGCGATTGAGATGGACCCGGACTGTACGACGTTGGCAACGACGTGACTGGCAGAGGGTTGTCTTCACTGACGAAAGTCGATTCTGTATGTTTAGGGCTGATGGAAGATAACGTGTTTACCGCCGAAGGGGTGAACGAACGGCGGCGTGTTGCGTGCAGGAGATCGTACCATATGGTGGAGGGAGTGTCATGGTGTGGGGAGGGATCTGAAGGCAGGAGAGGACACCGCTGGTCATCGTTGACGGAAACTTGACAGCTCAGCGTTACATGGATAACATTCTTCGTCCAGTTGTCCTACCATTTCTCCAACAACAGCCACGTGGTGTCATTTATCAGCATGACAACGCTAGAGCCCATACAGCCAGAATTGTCACTAACTTCCTCGCAGCCAACAACGTCAACGTCCTGCCGTGGCCTGCACGCTCACCCGACATGTCCCCCATAGAACACCTCTGGGACTTGATGGATCGTCGTGTTCGACAACGACCACACTCTCCAGCCAACCGGCAAGAACTGATCTTGGCCCTCCAAGAGGAATTCCACGTGACCTCATCAGACGACTGACTTTTTCTGTGCGTCGAAGAGTTTTTGCGTGTATTGAGGCATTTGGTGGTCACCCACGCTACTAATGACTTGTAATTGAACGTGGACGATTGTTTATGTACTCTGCCTATTGTCCATGATTCTGAAAGCTCGAGTTTTGTACCATCCCAACTTTGGGGGGCTCTGACGTCATTCCCGGTCGCGGTATGATTGTCATTTTCAGTGTTGATTATGTTGATATATTGATCTTCTCAATACACTTTACTTCATGCATGTATGTTTTGTTGTTTTTGAGCAAGAGTGATTTCACACTCTGGTAAAGTTTCTTTTGGACGTCAGTTTATTTTAGACAATATACATTTATTTTCTCATATCTTTCAACATAAAAGTTATATTTTGGGTCAAGCCTGAGGACAATTATATTTCAAAACAAGAAATCAGCTATCCGAAGAATTTTACATTGGTGGTCGTTGTGCTACTGTTGTTGAAGGGGTCGGGTAGCCTAGTGGTTAAAGCGTTCGCTCGTCACGCCGAAGACCCGGGTTCGATTCCCGACATGGGTACAATGTGTGAAGCCCATTTCTGTTGTCCCCCGCCGTGATATTGCTGGAATATTGCTAAAAGCGGCGTAAAACCATACTCACTCACTCACTGTTGTGAAAGGAACCATTTTGCAATTTCAGAAAAACACATGTTTGAAAATCAGCGAAAGAGGATTGTAAGTATATGTGATATTCTTGTCAGAATTATACAGCTCCTGCCACGGTTGTCGATATTTCTCATAGCTACTACGCCACATGTTTGACATACACACCTAGATAATTCTACAGTTCTCCAAATATCAAGGTCACAAGAAAGAAATAGTCATGCACGACCTTCACTATGAATATAGAATATGAAATATGATTATAGGTGGTAGATATTGGCGAGGTCAGTTGTCACCTGATTTGGTTAAATTAAAATGGTTCATGATACATGCTTCTGATGGGAAGGGGTGCTTCTGATTTTTTCCTACAATGCAAATACCTTTCTAGTTATAGACAAGGGGTACTGTACGATAAACAGCTCCGCCATCTGCAAAGAATGACCGTTGAATGACTACACTTCTCCATCATCTCACAATAATGTCATTCCTTTTCGTAAAGTAGTTTGTATGTAAATGACAAACCTATGTTACAGATCGAGAGGAGAAAACGTGAACTTCAGAATGCGCTGGCAACACGGGGTAAGTATTCACAAATGGAAAAATCCCTTATGCGAATAGAACGTGGTATTCTTGTTCACGAGATTCCCCTTCACTAATATCGGAGGAACGATTTTGAAGGAACTACTAGGTGTAACATGAAGAAACAATAGTCATGGGTGCGTTTAAAACATATATGAAAGTATGTACATTTATTTGGTGACTAAGTGTTGCATCACAAACACAGACTTTAATCGTATTAATAAAAAAAATATCAGGTGAACTTGTGAAGGCACATACATGTATATAAGAATTTCTAACGGTTTTGTTTCGACAGTGAACATTTATTTTGGATACACAATATGTAATTTCAGACTTCACAGATGGGCTCGTGAGTATGAGTTTTCAACTCTGCGTGTACAGTTGGCGAATCTAAATATACTCTGCAAAAAATGAATCGCTAAAGTTTTTTTAAGGTATATTTTACATATCGTATAAATAATCAACAGATGGTAATCGATTGTTCCAAATCATTGACCCATTTTCAAAATGGCACACATGGAACCGTAACCTAACTGGCATCGTCGTGTAAATGAAGCAATCAGATCCAGAATTGTGGCCTGGGGAATGTTCACCCACTCTGCCTGCATTGCTGGTTCCAATTGTCGGATGTTCTCTGGTTGTTGCTGACGCTGGCATGCAAATGAAGACCCAGCGTTCTTATAGCCTGACAAGGGATGTTGCACGTGCATGCCATGTTGGTGTGTGTCAGCGCCAGGCTCCCACGTGGTTGTGTTTCGGCGATTTTTCCATCTTGTTGCCAAATTTCATTGTAAATTATGACAGTCTCATGCCAATATTGTTCCAGATATCAAGTGAACTATCATGGTCAGTCATCTTGCATGTTAATGTTATAATTTACAGAATATATGTAAGTATTGATTACAAGGCATACAAATTTGATACCAAACACATGTTTGTTATAATTTTTTAATTTGAAGTTTATACGATATACGGCTTTTCCATTGGAAGAGAGGTTGGTCACATGAACGCGAAATTGACGTACATAAGCGTATGAACGACACAATTTGACGTTCATACGTTTTTCATGAGACCGTGTCCTTGAAATGACGTAAACACTGTGGACTACTTCAACATTCCTGGGGAAACCCCTGGGAATTCCCTAGCACAAAAACATACATAAGCGTTCTTTCTTATCATTTAGAACCTTTATTCTTGGTCTCAGCGTTTTAGTATACATTGAGAAATGTCAGAGAGCGTGACTGCATGATTGTTTACGAACATCCTCGCTGCGGCCTATCCTAATGAATAAACGAAGAAATGCACATCTAAACTATCGTGGTATCGACTCGATCCGTGTCTAGGCTGACACTGACCGTCTCCAGCAATCTATGAATTTACCTTAATGTCTGTTTGACGCATCTTTATTCACCTTTCCATGATCGGCCAGTTGATCAATGATGACTAACACATGTAACCGCCACAGAGTCATTAACAACTTCGATAATCCTCCCGTCACGTTTATCGTGTCGGCCATTTTGACGTCTTGTACTTGATGTAAATGTATTACGACGCGCTGTCATTGTGACTAACTTACTGAGGCAGTTCTTTACAGAACTAATGTGGATATGATCTGAACACATGTGCTGCGTAAGATGTTTCTGAAGAGCAAGTTGTGCATCCATACGCTAGTGTCACCAGCGATATAGCTGGTTGTTGTATGGCTGTCAGTGTAAACATGAAGTCACACGTAATAAATAGAAATGTGCTTATATCTTGGCCTACATCCTTTGAGATAAGAAATTGTGATAATTTTTTTTATCGCAAGCTCCGACGTTCATACAGTTTGGCCCTCACTCTATGAACGTTCATACTCCAATGAAATCACACAAAGTGAAAGTCAATTCTTAAATATTTTATATGATAGATCTATACTATGTGCTTACGCGTACCATGTTTTATTTTGTCTCGATCGAGTCTCAGCTGGAATCCCAGAGAACTATCACTCGATAACATGTGTATTTGTTGATGTTGCACATTGTGTTAAATGTGTTTCAGGAGGATGTCGTCGCTGTAGTCAAAAGTCTGCCTCATGTTAGTACATTTCTGTTCATATTTCTCAACGCTGCAAAAGATATTCAGGGATAATATTGCCTTTCTAAATTTCGCAACGTGGAACAGGTAATTCCATGACCAAAATGTCTTGGAATTAAACTTGGACTTTGATCACAATTCACGTCATATGGTTTGTTTAGGAAGGCGTCACAGAAGAAGAACTCGACAGAATCCTGCAACAAATTCCTGATATTATATCAAAAGCAAGTACCTTTCATAAACTGACGTCCAAAAGAAACTTTACCAGAGTTTGAAATCACTCTTGCTCAAAAACAACAAAACATACATGCATGAAGTAAAGTGTATTGAGAAGATCAATATATCAACATAATCAACACTGAAAATGACAATCATACCGCGACCAAGAATGACGTCAGAGCCCCCCAAAGTTGGGTGTGGTACAAAACTCGAGCTTTCAGAATCAGGAACAATAGGCAGAGTGCATAAACAATCGCTCACATGCAATAACAAGTCATTAGTAGCGTGGGTGACCACCAAATGCCTCAATACACGCACAAACTCTTCGACGCACAGAAAAAGTCAGTCGTCTGATGAGGTCACGTGGGATTTGACGCCATTCTTCTTGGAGGGCCAAGATCAGTTCTTGCCGGTTGGCTGGAGAGTGTGGTCGTTGTCGAACACGACGATCCATCAAGTCCCAGAGGTGTTCTATGGGGGACATGTCGGGTGAGCGTGCAGGCCACCGCAGGACGTTGGCGTTGTTGGCTGCGGGGAAGTTAGTGACAATTCTGGCTGTATGGGCCCTAGCGTTGTCATGCTGATAAATGACACCACGTGGCTGTTGTTGGAGAAATGGTAGGACAACTGGACGAAGAATGTTATCCATGTAACGCTGAGCTGTCAAGTTTCCGTCAACGGTGACCAGCGGTGTCCTCTCCTGCCTTCAGATCCCTCCCCACACCATAACACTCCCTCCACCATATGGTACGACCTCCTGCAGAAACACGTTTCCGTTCGTTTACCCTTTCGGCGGTAAACACGTTGTTTTCCATCAGCCCTAAACATACAGAATCGACTTTCGTCAGTGAAGACAACCCTCTGCCAGTCACGTCGTTGCCAACGTCGTACAGTCCGGGCCCATCTCAATCGCAGACGACGATGTTGTGCTGTCAACAGCTGTCCTCTGTATGGTCTAAAAGCCCTGATTCCATGAGCCCTGAGTCTCCTGGCCACTGTCTGTCGACTAACCCTGTGACCTAAGGCATTTGTCGCCGATGACGTCACTGTCAGAAAGCGATTTCGGAGGTGCCAGGTACACAAGTACCGGTCATCATGGGGCGTGGTCACCCTGGGTCTGCCTGTTCTTGGCCTGTCAGCGGTCCGCCCTGTCTGTCGGTAACGTTGCATCAAGTTGGTAACGGCAAACGAAGGTTCGTGCAATATGGGCGTGGGTGGCTCCCATCTGTACCATACCCAAGGCTCGTTCACGTTGTTCGACTGTGAGTCGTGGCATTTCTTTTGTGTTTTTTTTATCACTGTGGATGTCTGACTTGCCGTTGCAATCGTTTTATACCCTTACCCAAACGTGCATTTGCAGTTGTCCGTGGTGCACGTGTTTTTCACTTTTCGCGTGTTATCTCGCAAACATGTAACAGACAATTAACATTTTCTGCATACACTATTGTTGTATATAGGTTATGTGTTTTAGACAGACTTCATCGAAAAAAAAAATACTTTGTCTGATATTTCTATTTTCAGTTGGTAAAGTTTCTTTTGGACGTTAGTTTATATTCTGATCATAACTGTAAAATGGCTAAAGTAGTAAAAATGGCCGACAATCAATCAAGAGATGCCTGTTTCCTGGAACCAATGTTTTAATGCCTTCATATATGGTCATACGGTCAGCTTTATATCTGAGTAATATTCTCCGTCACAAACATGTAAAAGACGTGAAAGGCACATCACGTTCAATCAAAATGAGGCACATGACATTGTCAATGATGAAAGAGTCTTCTGAACTATTTGAAATAGATATGTATTTCAGTATTTTTCGTATTCCAAAATTGACACCATGTGTATTTATTTCCATTGGAAAGGAAGTAGCAAGAGCCGTGTTGAACATCTGCGAACAACAAGCCAACAAATCAGTCAGAGAAAATAGCCAAGGTGAGATAATGCCGGCCATTGTTTGCTCTCAGACTTTACCAGTACGAGATCTTTGTGAGCGGGCCGGCCATTGTTTGCTCTCAGACTTTACCAGTACGAGATCTTTGTGAGCGGGCCGGCCATTGTTTGCTCTCAGACTTTACCAGTACGAGATCTTTGTGAGCGGGCCGGCCATTGTTTGCTCTCAGACTTTACCAGTACGAGATCTTTGTGAGCGGGCCTGTCATTGTTTGCTCTCAGACTTTACCAGTACGAGATCTTAGTGAGCGGGCCTGCCATTGTTTGCTCTCAGACTTTACCAGTACGAGATCTTTGTGAGCGGGCCTGCCATTGTTCGCTCTCAGATTTTACCAGTACGAGATCTTTGTGAGCGGGCCTGCCATTGTTTGCTCTCAGACTTTACCAGTACGAGATCTTTGTGAGCGGGCCGGCCATTGTTTGCTCTCAGACTTTACCAGTACGAGATCTTTGTGAGCGGGCCTGCCATTGTTTGCTCTCAGACTTTACCAGTACGAGATCTTAGTGAGCGGGCCTGCCATTGTTTGCTCTCAGACTTTACCAGTACGAGATCTTTGTGAGCGGGCCTGTCATTGTTTGCTCTCAGACTTTACCAGTACGAGATCTTAGTGAGCGGGCCTGCCATTGTTTGCTCTCAGACTTTACCAGTACGAGATCTTTGTGTGCGGGCCTGCCATTGTTTGCTCTCAGACTTTACCAGTACGAGATCTTTGTGAGCGGGCCTGCCATTGTTTGCTCTCAGACTTTACCAGTACGAGATCTTTGTGAGCGGGCCTGCCATTGTTTGCTCTCAGACTTTACCAGTACGAGATCTTTGTGAGCGGGCCGGCCATTGTTTGCTCTCAGACTTTACCAGTACGAGATCTTTGTGAGCGGGCCGGCCATTGTTTGCTCTCAGACTTTACCAGTACGAGATCTTAGTGAGCGGGCCTGCCATTGTTTGCTCTCAGACTTTACCAGTACGAGATCTTTGTGAGCGGGCCTGTCATTGTTTGCTCTCAGACTTTACCAGTACGAGATCTTAGTGAGCGGGCCTGCCATTGTTTGCTCTCAGACTTTACCAGTACGAGATCTTAGTGAGCGGGCCTGTCATTGTTTGCTCTCAGACTTTACCAGTACGAGATCTTAGTGAGCGGGCCTGCCATTGTTTGCTCTCAGACTTTACCAGTACGAGATCTTTGTGAGCGGGCCTGCCATTGTTCGCTCTCAGATTTTACCAGTACGAGATCTTTGTGAGCGGGCCTGCCATTGTTTGCTCTCAGACTTTACCAGTACGAGATCTTTGTGAGCGGGTCAAACTGTAACGTCAGATCTGAAGTTCACACCTCCTGTCACATGACTGTTCGTTATCTCGTGGGATGTTAACACTTTTCACCGGTACGTGTGTACACTGACACACGAAGACCACTTATATCGCATGAAAGGATAGCCAGATAGATTTGAATAATAAAAACGTCGGCGACTTTACTATCTCCCTTTATCAATGTGGGAAGGCAATATAGGAATGGGTGCTTTCCGTTCGTTTTGTTTTCGGATCAGAACTCAAACAACGAAGGGTTAAATTCAAGAGCGTAACTCATAAATCAGTTGTATTTTCTCATATATCAGTCAAGTGATGTGACCAACTGCTACATTATTTTTTAGATCCTTTATTTTGTATTTTTCTCAATCGACACAAATGGAAATCCCAGGTTATTTGATGATATACACCCTACCCAGTGATTTTCTCACAGCAACAACACCCTACTGAGATGACAGTTTTGGATTACATGTTCTCTAGAACAAATCCCAGGGAGCATCTTGTGGTCTGGGCCGGAGTCTCGCTCTCAATTGTACGAACCAGATTGATGGATATTTCATGCGTGTTAGTACTCGGTTAGAAAGCAGTGGCACATTCTTTCACCAAGTCAAGGGGGCACGGGTGGCACGGATGTCCCAGTCATCTTAGGCGCCGCGAGTCGCTGTGCACAGTTGCGTCCCTTGGACACGCCAGAAACCAATGATTGTGGGTTCGAATCCCGGTTCGCCCCGATTATGTTTCTAGGTTTGCCAGCACCATATCCCTGCTCGTGGGTTTCACCGAAGTGGTAAACGTCCGAGACCGGCCTCACTTCTGGTTTTCCTCCCATATAAAGCTGACACGCCCCGATATAACTGGAATAATGTTAAAAACGGCGTTAAACCCAACTCACTCACTCACAAAGTCAGCGATGCATGTAAGGAAATGTAGGTTGACGTTCATGATATGTCTGCGGCTGTTTGTGAACGGACTGATGGGGATGGTCATTGCGATATGCGTTTCTCTTTCACAGCGTATGCAGCAGTCTCCTTTGTGACAGGCGACAAAACACAGCAGCAGGTATCTATGAACCGTTAACTAAACAGCCCCCTTGTAAGATTATGTTAACATGTGATGTTTTGGTTTGGTTTGTCTGTTGTTTAACGCCGCACTCAGCAATATTCCAGCTATATGACAGCGGTCTGTAAATAATCGAGTCTGGACAAGACAATCCAGTGATTGACCTCATGAGCATCGATCCACGCAATTAGGATATGATGACATGCATCAACCAAGTCAGTGAGCCTGACCATCCGTTCCCGTTCGTCGCCTCTTACGACAAGCATAGTCGCTATTTACGGCAAGCATTGGTTGCTGAAGACCTATTCTAACCCGGATCTTCACGGGTCTGTGATGTTATGAAACTGGAAGTGCTTTGTTATGAAGGTGACAAGAGGCAGGGAACTGTTACTGCATTTGGGAATTGTTTTCCCAAACCGAAAGTGATTATGACTATCTTATTAGAGTACGTATAGGCACTGGAAGCCCTGTAAGCCATTGGACATGCTTTTTCCTTATCTGTAGGTGATGTTATTAAAGTAGAAGCGCTTATTACTTTGTTATAAAGGTAGATAGAGGCATAGACGTTTCTGTTTCTATGGTGTACGAAAATGGAAGTGAACCGGATGTGATGTTATTAAACTGGGATGTTATTTATTTTGTTTTTAATGTAGAGGCATATGCTTTTCTGTTTCAAAGTTTTACTGTGATGGGCATGTGTAAAGTAACTTGATGTCACCTGATTCGACATGTTTCTGATGGAAAGGTTTTGCAATTTGGGCATGTAATTCAATCACCCTTATAAACTAGTGTCCAAAAGAAACGATACCAACTTATTTTCAAAATTGTTTTTTACTAAGCGAATTGTCAAGTATGAAAACATGACAATTCGTATTGCACATCCCAAACACAGCATAGTCGATAAAAAATACCGGGAACACGTGATCACTTCCGGGAAAAAACGTAAATTTCGTGAAAGTGACATTTCCCTCTCTAGCATGTTCTGCACGTGCAGAAAAACTGTATAAAACGGCTGATCAGACACGTTGATATCAAAGCAACAAAAAGAACACAAGATATGCCACGTTTGACAGCCATCGAGAGAGAGAGAGCCGTTGGAATGGTCCAACAAGGAGCGTCACACGTCGACGTCGCCAGAAGGTTGGGCTGCGCACGCATCACTATCACCAGGTTGATGCAGCGGTTACGTCAGACAGGTCAGACGTCAGACAGGCCCAGGAGTGGAAGACCACGAGTAACCACGCCCCGTGAAGATCGTTACATCCGGGTATTACACCTGAGGAACCGCACAGTAACAGCGACGTCCACATCGGCTACAGCACTGGGACACAGGATCAGTCGACAGACCGTCTACAGGAGACTACGGCAGTATGGTATCCGGCCACGTCATCCCTACCGCGGATCGCTCCTGACGCCTCGACACCGGAACAACAGACTGATCTGGGCCAGGCGAGTTCGACGTTGGCAACGGCGGGACTGGGCACGTGTTATGTTCTCTGATGAGAGCAGATTCCTCATCTTCAGAATCGATGGACGGCAGCTTGTATACCGACGATTTGGTGAACGTTTGGCGCCTAACTGTATCCAACAGGTCCGGCCGTTTGGAGGTGGAGGGTTAATGGTTTGGGGTGGCATATGTGGTGACGTCAAAACGATGCTTGTCGTAATTCGTGGAAACCTGAATGCACAGCGTTATCTTGATGACATCCTACGGCCTGTTGTGGTGCCCTTTATTCAGCACTCCTTTTCCAACATGACAATGCAAGGCCACACACAGCAAGATTGACACAGAACTTCCTTGCCAACGCCAACGTACAGGTTTTGCCATGGCCCGCATGTTCACCGGACATGAATCCCATCGAGCACTTATGGGACCACCTCGATCGGCAAATCCGACATCGCCGTGTGCCTCCAGTCAACGTCCAGGACTTGGAACGATGTCTCCTCGAGGAATGGCAACGCATCACTCCCAACGTCATCAGACGTTTGACGTCATCAGTCCGTAGGCGTGTTCTGGCATGTATTGATGCTCACGGTGGACATACCCGCTACTGACTTGACTTTGAGACGTGTGGTGTGACATTTCCCGTTGTTTCTGTGATCAGTGCTCTAACGAAATGTTCATTTTTCGACCCCACCCATCTTTAAAGGCTTGTCATATTGGTTGTACAGATTTTATTGAAATGAAATTTTTGTACAGATGTTGTGAAAGGATTTCTCAAAAGCATAACACCAATCCTAAACTTCTGCATTGTTTAGTTTTTCTTTTATGTCGTTGCAAACAGGTGGTATCGTTTCTTTTGGACACTAGTTTAGTTCAGCATACCGTGTCTTGTACATTCATGTTTGCCATGCAATGTCTTTGTCCAATTTGTTCACATGGGCTTTTGTATTTCTTTTCCTCGTGGGGAGTTCGTAAGAGAATACGTCCCAAGAATCCCGTACATGTCAAATGGGTCGACTCATGAAGTTTGGGTGATCAGGCTCTGTGCCTTGGTTGATTGCGTGTCACCATGGGTGTTGATATTGCTGATGCTTTTACCGAAACGTGGTGTGTAAATGAAGCGTGTCTCTTGTAAGTCAAGCAATGAAACGAGGCTGTGTGTAACTCATGCAACTCAATTGAGCCCAAAGCCGTGCAGGAATGTTGTGTGAGTGAGTAAGTGAGTGAGTGAGTATGGTTTTATGCCGCTTTTAGCAATATTCCAGCAATATCACGGCGGGGGACACCAGAAATATGCTTCACACATTGTGCCCAGAATGTTGTGTGAAGGATACCGTTGCCTGATGTGCCGCAAGGATCATTTGTGGGATGTATCTGATCACTTAATGATTTTTTTCTCACTGGAACAGGACCATGGCTATATTTCGTTGGTTACAAAATTGACTACACTGCAAAAACGAAGTGTGTACAAATCCGTGACAGGCTGACCATTGACAACTTGTTTGGCCCCGACTCGATACTTACAGACCGCCTCTGTCGCCTCTTTGCCAAAACAGATTATTAAGTTAAAATTTAGTGAGTGAGTATGGTTTTACGCCGCTTTTAGCAATATTCCAGCAATATCACGGCGGGGATCACCAGAAATGGGCTTCACACATTGTACCCATGTCGGGAATCGAACCTGGGTCTTCGGCGTTACGAGCGAACGCTTTAACCACTAGGCCCCCGACCGCCCCAAGTTAAAATTTAACGTCGCATCGGCATTATTTAGCCATGTAGCGACGAGACCAAATTAATATATATATATATATATATATATATATATATATATATATATATATATATATATATATATACAAAAATGAGGTAAATGTTCACTCGGTGTACATGTAATATATAATAAAATAATAAAGTCCACGTTAGTCCATCATCTTCTTTATATCAGTTTCATACATAGTACTTTCGCTGTCTCATGACAGCTCTTCAGTGTAACTGACATATACATATAATGACGTCATACTTATGATGACGTCATAAACTACAACTGTGACGTCACAATGTATTTACACACTCCAGCGACGACACCAAGTAATTTAACAATTGTAGGGAGACATTTGAATTAAATATACAGTATTTGTAAAGTAACAGTGCAACATTTACGATTGAAATGACAAATCTATTAATACATTCTAGAGTTCAACTTTGGTTTCATCAATTGGATAAACATTTGTTCTTTTTCCAGTCTCAGCTGCTTGTTACTTGTATACAATTTATAAAACGGAAAAATAGTAAATTTCCCGTTTCCGCAATCATCAATGTGTTTGCTGACACCTAAGCATCGAACATTAGGGTCTCTAATCTGCTGTTTGTGTACAGTGACTCTATCTTTTAATTCCATGCCGGTTTCACCGATGTAGTTTTCGCCGCATCCCGAACATCTCATAACATACACCACATCTTTGCTGCGGCAGTTCATGTCGGCTTTCACATTGAAACCCTTGCTATTTGCAAAAAGGAAAGTAGTACCTTCACTTATGATGTTACACGTGCCGCATCTTGGTGTTACATCTACTTACACAATATTTGTACAGAGAGTGTAACACACCAAGATGCGGCACGTGTAACATCATAAGTGAAGGTACTACTAACATCTTGGTGTGTTACATCTACTTACACGTGGTACACTCTCTGTACAAATATTGTGTAAGTAGATGTAACACACCAAGTAACCAAAGTTAGGCCACCTCACTAGGGATCAATGGTACATACAGTACCTCGGCTTCCTGCATGATACCCCAGCAGAACTGAAATTTGATTCTACACTATTAATTTAAGTGCGCTGAAAGCAAACAAGATAAAAATACTTCATCTTTACAGGTTGACGCCATTGCTGCAATAACGGATGCAAAACCACAGGAAGGTTCTGCAGAGGTAAATGGAAGGTTTCGGTCAGAAAATAGCATTAACATGGGAAAGAAATGATAAAACATGTTGTGTTTTTATTCCCATACATCCCGACGGGATATCGGGTTAGAAATAGTTCCTAGAACATCTGGCTAACTTCATCAGTGGTCAGACTCGGGGCCTTGGTTGATTGTGTGATGGCGAGGGAAAGTACTCACAACATCAATCACTGGTTTACCTTGTAAAATATCAAGCATCGCCCTTTCCTTCCTTTCCTATGGTAAACTACGATGTTTGTTGTCGCCTACTCATGTACCAACATAAAGCATGACCGCTGTTGCCCAGTTGTAACAATTGAAGATATTACTCAAATTACGTACACTGTTATATCCAGGATGGAGAATCAAGTATCTTTGTGACTGATGGAGGGGACCTTCCTTGTCAGCGTGTGTATAATGTCCTGATCGAGGCCCTACCACTCACAGAACAGGTAAAGCTCGCCCGGATACAAGATGCATGTCCCTCAAGGAAACAATTATATTTCATTATACTGTGGAATGTGGCACTCAATTTTGTTAAATACTAATCAATAAAAACAAACGCAACACTTGCATATGCTTTTATTTTTATAAGGTACAAATAGGTGATATCATTTAGTGGTATAATACAGTTACAGTGCATCTTGTATTGACATGTGCTACGCCAAAATGTTCTATGGATGGGACTTTTCGATTATTTAAACTTTCTGATGTGGAGCAAGTATGTATGTATTGATGTATTTTCTTTCATGTACCTAAATTGCCAAAAAGGCTGCTTAAAATACTCTCCCATAAAAGATAGATATCAACATTTGCTGAGGGAACATATTTAATCTGTAAACGAAATTAATTTGTCTTGCTACAAAATGAAAACAGCCGTCAGAGAAACATTGATATCAACGTCACTCTTTAATCTGATGCCCGGGAACCACTGTGTGGGACATGGTACAGGAAGTAAGGCGAAATATTTGATTCGGCCTTTTGTGGGGAATTCCTCAAACACAATCACAAATATTTTTTGTTCGTATTTAGAATGAGTATACAATTGTGACAACTTCCCTACTGTCATACACGCATAAAGACCCGCATTATATGCAGAAACTACGACACCTGACAGACTGTGTCCTACGCAAGGCTGAGCAAGATGGTATATCAAGCATCGCCATTCAGCCAACTGGATATGGCATGGACACTTTACCAAAGGCCGTGTTGGCTACATCCATCTTGGATACAGCCTTGAACCACTCATGTGTTTCTCTGGACGAAATAGTGGTGTGTGCGGACGAAGGCGATGCAGATACGATTAAGGTACATGAATAGACATATGCACATTTACATCTCGTCAGAACGAATATTATTGCAGTATAATAATTGAGTATGTTCATCATGTATGTGCTGGTCAAAAAGTTCTAAGCCTAACAAACTCAACCAACAATTGTGAAACTGTTTTATATTTTATCTTTCAACATAATACCCCTGCTCTTGAATACACTTCTCATATCGATAGTGAGGCTTTTTCAATTCCAGTCAGGAATAAGTTTTCTGAAGCCTCCCTGAAAAACCCAAGCTTTGAGGTCACCGTTGTCGTCATGGCGTTTTCCACGATGGTGCTCTTTCAGTTTAGGAAACAGGTGGGCATCACTTGTGCCAGGTCTGGCGAGTATGGAGGGTGTGGAAGCTCTTCGAACCCACTCCAGCAGTCAGCATACCTCGACACTATTCTTGGATAGAATCTCTCAGGCGATAATTTAAATCAGCATAGCAGGCACCGGTAATCGTCTTTTGACTTTCTTAGTAATCAAGTGGATCACACCCTTTTCACCCCAGCATACAGTGGCGATAATTTTCTTCACTGATCTTGCAGACTTCAATTTCGTTTGTGCCGGAGAAGTGGAATGGTGCCATTCCATAGATTGACGTTTTAACTCGGGATTATAGTGGTGAACCCATGTTTCACACCCGTTACTATTCTCTTTTTGGATTTGACGAATAAGCTCTATATTGTCTCTGGCAATGTCAGTTGTTTTTTCCTTAAGATCAGAATTTAGAAACTTTGGCACCCAACGAGCAGATACTAGTATCTTCTTCATCTGTAAATTTTCATGAATTATAGTCTCAATGGATCCATGGCTTATACCCGTGTCTTCCTCAAGTTCAGCAATGGTAATACGTCTATCTCACAGTACAAGTTTTTCTATCTCCTTGATTGAATCTTTATTGTTGGAAGTTGAGGGACGTCCAGACCTTTGGTTATCACCAAGGCTTGTTCTTCAAGCCTTAAACATAGCTCCCAAACGTATAACAGTGGAATAGCTAGGGCGATTATCCCCATACACATGCGGTCATGAATGTATTTGGGAGTACCAATCTCTAAAGTCAGAAACTTGATGCCTGCTCGGTACTCGTTCTTTTTCATTTGTGTCCATTTGGACCCCTATCGCATTCAACTGGCTGTCACTGATATACAGACGGCCTCAACAGACCAAATACACTTGCAATGAACTACTTTGACTAGTTCACTTTGTTGTGGTCCATAGTTGAAAGTTAGTTAGACTGAGATCTTTTTGACCTGCACTCGTATAAGAAAATGATGTCACCACGAGTGTTAAATTACAAAATTAAAACTACCAGATGTAGATTAACATGACATCACAAAAGTATATAATAATTTTGTTATATCGGTATCAGTATTCATTTACATGTACCTTAATCTCCAGAACAGGAAGCAACACATTAATGTGCATATATTATATACTATTTAAATATAAACAGGCATTTACAGCTGAGATTGACAAGCGCCCTCAACTTGGAAAAGGCAAAGGTAAGCTCATAATAAAACTGGAATTTTGTGCGACGTTAAACAACAAACAAACAAAACATGTTCTTCATCAGAGCATTTAATACAAAGATATATAATATTGCGTGCAGTACATAAACCTTTCCCAAAGTTTACATACATAAATAATTAATCAGTGGAGTAAGATTGAACACAGTTTTAATTGGCTAGCGCTTTCAACTCGTACCACGTACATGTACGAGTCTCATCAGGCCATAACTGGTGACTACTTCATGTCCGTTATTCAGTTATGGCCTGATGAGACTCGTACGAGTTGAGTGCGCTAGACAATTAAAACTGTGTTCAATCTTACTCTACTTATTTAATTATTACTATATTGTGCCTGAGAGTTAGAACTTTACTGTGCTTTATATATATATATATATATATATATATATATATATATATATATATATATATATATATATATATATATATATGAGACAAGAAATTAAATTTATATATAATTAAGGAGTGCCTTCTAAATTTGATTTTTTTCTGTCTATAAAAAAAATATATTCTCCTTTTTTCAAATCATTTTTAAAGTAGAAAAGAATGTTAACGATGATCTATTCATGAGCATTTATGACCTTGTAATGCCAATCTTGTTTATAACAAGTTTCCGAAATCTTGAGCACTCCATACCTCACCAAAACCATACAGAAAAAGCAGATTTCTACAGTCTACTCTTCTCTGCGATCTTATAGTGGAATATGTTATAAGTACCGATCACCAACAAATAGTATGAATACAAGGATAACAGTTGTCTTTGTCAATCAGGCAACAGATCATAGGAACTAAAGCAGATTCTTTTCGATTGGATATACATGTATTTTGCTCATCTTATTCATTATTCACGTACAGAACTCGGATCTACCTTCTCTGTGACTATTGTCAAAGGAAACATTGTCCATCAGGATGTAAGTAATATGTTGCAGTTGACATTACTCAGTTTCATTCAACAGATTGATCTATGACTTTTACATATTGAAAACGTCTCATAATATTTAAAATAATAGGATAATAATAAGACATAAACGAAAACAATCGAAGCTATGCTTTGGAAGCTAGCGTCTTCAGAAGCTCAAAGATTGTTATTTTACGATTCCGAGCAAAGATCCCTGCTAAGAATTTGTACCGCAAACTGACCAATGTTTTTGGTTTATTGTTATGCTTGCCCTCAAAGTACGTGGGAAAATAGTGTACAGTTCTATAGGGGCATTTACAGTGAACATTGTTGAATTCGACATCGAACGAATTTGGTGAGTTGACCACGTTATCGTTACATTCCTTTCCTTTTATATACATACGTTTGTGCAGTACTGACCCTGATTGTGACCATGTATCTTGTTGCTGCTGTATATCTTGTAACTCTACGTAACAAACCTCTGTGCACCCATTGATCAAGACCTCCAGAATTGATGGTCGGTCTCTATTTACCTGGCAATTTCTGTGAGAGTCACCAGGTTTAAGATCAAGAGTAGCAGAATCAACTGTCCCATTTATAGTCTAACAAACTCGTCAGCACATATTAAATATATTTCGAACGGGAAATAACGTATGGCAAGAATATTCTTGAAATGTGTTGTTTTTATAGGATTTACTAGATGATTACACATCATCACAACATGGATAAGTCACCTACATTCCTGCTTCCATATGTATTTAATAAAACAATCCTGTGAGCACATAGGATCATTTCCCTTGGATTAATACAGAAATAAATTAATCACAAAATAAATTACACATTAATTACAAATTAATGATACATGATTTCAGGTTGATGTGGTTGTTAATTCGACTAGCTCGAGCCTCTGCTTGGCAAGTGGGCAACTGTCTGCAGCAATATATGAAGCTGCGGGAGACAGCATACAAGAGGAGTGTAGGAGAAACTACCCCACAGGTGTTGAGACGGAAGAGATAGCCGAGACTTCAGGAGGACATCTACCGAGTCGGAGAATATACCACACGTCCCTGGGAGGCTGGTCAGAGCAGGTAATTCATCATTGACGGTTTGGGGAACTATTTCTGAGATTGAGACAGAAAATTATTAGCCGAACGATTATGACAGTATATATGATAATGAACTAAAATCTGAATTGAGGGTTGTAAAGGGTGACTTCGAAGTCCCTCTGAAAAATATTATCTGTAAAAAAATACAGTAATGTTGCATCAAGGTCTACAAGAGGAACTATGATTCACTTGACATGCTGGATCTGAAAGAAAGTGTTATGTTCTCAATCTTGAAGCAGTGACTGAAATCATGATGTGCACCAAATGAAAAACCTGCCAAGATGATGCCTGTGACAGGATAGATTCTTTAACAGGTTACAGCTGGCAGCGCAATGTGGACATGGGTGATCAATCTTCGCCAAAATAACAAACTCTTAAATGCAATAACTCAGTTAAATATATACAGACAAAGCTGGCATTTCCATGCATGTTCTTTCAATGAAAACACCATTGTTTGCAAGAAGTGTTGTTTACAGACTGATAGTTATGTATATATATATATATATGTATCTCCAGGTATATGCGGTCCATATATTCGTGCTTGTCAAAACTCCTTTATCCACACAAGATCTTTTGCCGTTCAACGGCTCTTCAGGTGTAATGAAAACTTTAACTTACATTGTAGTCCCTTGTCTACGCACAACAGTAGTATTTGTGACGTCATAATGCCTTAGATGTAACAGTGACAATAGAGGGAGAAGTAAAACGTAGACCTAGGCGACAGCCAACGTTATGCTTATGACGTCATAAAGCATATGACGTCATAGCTAATGATAATAATGGGATGCATGAATACATTATGGTGTGAGTGCACAAATACACATTAAGCTACATGGGGAAGTTTTGAAAATTATAATTTTGATTTAATATATATAACCTGAGTATAAAAACGTATTAGTACACTGTTGTTTCACAGTACCTGTTACCACTTGTAACCTGTAAATGAACTTTGTGTTCCAGAATTACAGAGCATTTTTTGTAAAATGTCTCACCAAGGCCTCGAGCTCGAAATTGAAGAGCATCGCTTTCCCTTTAATTGGTACAGGGATCTTGCACTATCCATGTGATGAAGTGGCAAAATGTATCTTCAAGAGCTTTGATCAATATAAAACAAGCTGCCCTGATTCTTCCCTGCGAGAGGCACGAATTGTTGTGTATCCAGAAGACAAGAAAAGTTTGGAGGTTTGGGTTTCTTTATCATTGTTTGAGGCATGACATGATCCAGAATTTGGTGGAATATATGTGATTCTGTCAATAATCCCCTTAAACCAATATAGCTGTGACTCCCCTGAAACTGAAAGGGATAATATTGACATTTAGCATGCATGTTCCTTTCAGTGAAAACGCCATGGTTGTTTCCGTTCAATGATAACACCCAAGTGTTGTTTTCTGATTGATAGTTCTTTTCACTCATAATAACAAGAAAATCAAAGTAGAACTAAAGTTTGATGTCTTTTTATCAAAGCTACATTTTTAAGAAAATTAATACTTTGAGTGAATGATTGTGGCTAATGTATCTGTTTCGCCAATTTATAGGTTTCAAAAATGTGCTGACTTGTATTGAAAATTCAGAAACGTTAAAACAAACAACTACAAAAATTCCTTCTGGTCTATTGGATTCCTTAATGAGTGAAATTGTGAAATGTTGTTTTATGCCTATAGTTACGTGCTGTGTGTGTTGTACACCAGTCTAGATAGTCATAGACAACTCAGATTAAAAGATCAGCGTTTATTACAATTTGCATGGCAGACATATGCTAAGGGAAGCAACTCTTATAACAAGACTGCATACCCCGTAACATCTATTGTCGCAATGAAGACCGCCTCTACTGTCTAATGGTAGATCACCTTCTCACAAAGTGGAAAGTTCGGCGTTCGATCCCCGACCACGTCAAACCAAAAGACATCAAACGATGGTACCTGTTGTTATCCTGTTCGGAGTCAGTATATTTTTTCTGAGTGGGATATTCATGTTGAATTGCGGAATGGTAGCTCAGTTAGCTAGCACTTTAAAACTAGCATTAGTCCGGACTAGTACAAGCAGCCACATAAATACAAGTATTTGCATGCACGTCGCTATTTATCTATCTATCTATCTATCTATATGCAAAAATCTTGAACGAGATACTAAACCCTATTTCACCTCACAGTGAATGTTTTCTTTCTGGTAATTACATATTTGAATCTTTATGGGAGACACGTGTACAATGATGAAGTATGTACAAAGGTCATATTTTGTGCTATTTCAGATGACTATGTTTAGTTGTTTTCATCACATAAGTAAGCCAAATATCTATCTTTATGTTATGTGAGACATTTTCTGCTTAAAAGAATTAAACCTTGGCTAATGTTTCACAAATGACCACGACCCAGGCACTAGCCTCTTTTTTGTTCATTATGAATTTGCTACAGATCTTTGAAGGTGCCACGCCAGCAGAAGCAGTCCCAGATGTGCATCCAGTATATTCCTCAACAAGCGATTTTACATTACAAACAGGTACTTCAGCGAGATTCAATATTTTACTTCGTACAAAATACAAAGTAAGATTTGAGAAGGTACAAGACACAATATTAATTAATATGTTCCACATTTATGCGGAATATGCAATATGCGGTATACGGCGTAAAACAGAATAAAAAAAGAAGAAAATAACATATGTCTGATATACGTATCTATACTGAGTCAAATTAAAAACTTCACATTTTTTAAAGTAATCCGGTATATGATATACAACGGACAAATGTATCAGAGAAGGTAATTTTTAATCATTAATGTCCAAAGAAGGATTTTAATTAACGGTGGTAACCATATTTGTTCCAAGTACCTACGGTATTCGGTAATAACATCAACAGTTTAAATCATAAGTCCCAAGCACGAGAAACTAATGGTACACAAGTTCAGTAGCGTGTATGGCCACCATGTGCGTTGACAACTGCCACACAACGCCTCCGCATGTACCTTGTGATGCTTGTGAACACATGATTGGGAAGACGACGCCATTGTTGCTGCAAAATGGTGCCAAGATCTTGCAAATTCTGTTGTTGGTTCTGGAGAGTGCGCAGACTTCTGCCAAGAGTATCCCAGACGTGTTCGATGGGACTGAGGTCGGGAGACCTTGACGGCCAGTCCATGACGTTGACTCCCGCATTCTGAAGGAAATTCCTTGTCAAAATTGCTGTGTGGGGTCTGGCATTGTCGTGTTGGAAGATCAAACCGGGTCCATGTGCTGCCATAAAAGGCAGAAGATCTGGTGCCAGTACCTGGTCGCGGTAATCAGCAGCGTTGAGGTTGCCACGGATGACAAGAAGCCTGGAACGTGCATTGCCACAGAAAGCAACCCACACCATGAAACTTCCGCCTCGAAATCTGTCAACTTCCTGTACACAACACTGGGCGTAACGTTCATGACGGCGCCTCCACACCCTCGCCCTGCCATCAGCAAATCGAAGATCAAATCGGGATTCATCACTGAAGACGACTTGATTCCAATTCCTCTGAGTCCATCGAGTCCATTTGAGGCAATCTTGCAGCACCTGGCAAAGTTCGCCTAACGTAGCGGTGGCCTTTGTTGATACGTTTACGGTGGGCACCAGCCTTCTGGCAGTCATAGTGACCCCACCCAACGTTCGTATGACTCATCTAAACACATTGCACAAAACCATCTGCGATTCACCAAGTTTCTAAGCACAAGTGTGTCTGCGGAAATCTGTTCCAAAGTCTGCAAATCACAGACTGAGACACATTGAACATTTTGACTATCTTTCGATGAGTTCTGCTATTTTGAAGCATGCTAATAGCCCTTATGCGTTCATCACAAATTCTCAGTTTGATCACAAATACTGCATTGAAGCAAGATTGGAGAGCTTGTGGATAGGCCTGCGTATAAGAATGCGGATTATGAAAAACAGAACTACTAATCTGAGTCATTTTACAACAATTCACTGTGTTGGGGCATTAGGTTTTGGTTCCGAAACCGTTCTCGCAGTTCTTTTTCAAAGTCATTCTCTCCTCAGACGACAGGTTGTTACCTAGCACATTGGTGATCAGTAGACTATATTTCGTACATCAGTAAACACAGGATTTATTTGAGGCTAGATCTAATAAATGATACAGTTTTTGCTTTCTTTGCTGTAGCTGTAGGCATGGCTGGGCACATCCAGCTGCCCTCACACTGGAGTCCAATGACTGAGGAACAGTTTGTGAGCGAAGTACAGCTCGAACCTGAAGATAAAGAATACAAGTTGGTGGCTAGACAATTCAATACAGGCGTTGACAATGAATATACCATTGTCGAGGTAACGTTTTAATAGCTTATGTCAACTGAGATCATGTGACACATTGCTGTTAGCACATTTTCTCTTTTTGATGTTAATATCCCATGCGAGCCATGTCTTAAAACTGGACAACATATGATCCTGGGTTCGAATCCCAGTTCTTGCTGATTGTGATTTTTTGTTTCTTTGTAACTTGCGTAAGTGTATAAGTCAGAGATGTTGTGATATAAACCCAACTCACTACTCACTTCAGTCTGACTGCATTCTTGCATGGGGAAGTATTGTTTTATAGACTCAAATCTGAAAGAACCGTGCCCTTAAAGATTGTGACCCAAGCTTAAGAAAACAAATTATATGCTCTTCCACATTAATGACATCCCTGTTGGTTTGTAGATACAATTATAGATTCTATACTCAGCTGGTTTTCCCGGAATCGATTTTAAGGATGTAGGATGCATATTGGTAACTGCCGTAAAACAAGATTCATTCCCTTACTAAAACACAAACTAAACAACTAAAACTTGAAGCCTTAGTCTCTGGGTACATAAATAATGTGATATGTCATATTCTTTCCAGACTGGGAAATATATGCTTGCTGTGTTAGACCTGAATAGGACAGTGATTCTCTATTCTCAGTGATCCTTACTACTTTCTCAGCCAAGTATATGCTAGAGGTGTTCAATAGCTTGTAGCAAACATCGTCGCCCTTGCAATTTTCACTCTAGTGAAAGTAGCTGTTTGACTGGCCTTCTTGTTATACGCTGCAATTACTCCCTATGAGGTGCATGGTAAGTTTAATTTTATTGTAGGTGTTCTACTTTGATATTTGAAAGACAAACAAAGTATGCATATCAGCAATTTCAAGTCCTTACATTGCAGATCAAGAGAATCCAGAACCGCACACTGTATCTCCAGTATGTGATGCTCCTGCACCAGATGGCAACACAGAACCCGGATGCGGATCTTGAGAGACACCTATGGCACGGAACAAATGGAGATGTTGTGACCAGTATAAATCTTCATGGTTTCAGTCGTAGCTATGCAACAGGTACCTGTCTACAAACCAAATGCAACAATATTAAGCACGTCAAGTTCAATATTGATTTCAAGAACGACAGACAAGAAGTGTTTGAAGTAATACACCCAATATATTTTCAAAATTTTCACTAGCTGAATATCTGTCGATTTTCATATATATATATTCATCACTAAAATATTCAACATTCCTGTAAAATCATCACAGTTTGCACTTGACTGTCAGGATTATGTATCACAAAGACATGGTACAATTGCGAATAGAAAAGTATACTAAAAAATAATGTGCGTGGACAAAATTTGTACTGTAATTACTACCAAATTAACTATGTTCATTATTGAATTCCTACACGTTTTCAAACAACTAAACACAGAACATTGTTTAGGGTATCAGTGAATACAGTGTATGTGCATCAACAACTTCCAGAGTTTTACAATGCAATATTGCTCAAAAACGTAGTGACTAATATAAGACATGCCAATGTAATCCGGGAGATTACACTGCTGTATTTGAGCTTCCTCTATGATAGGTCAAGATCAGCGTTTTGGTGATATGTGACGGATTCTGTATATTTGAGGATATGCCACTATAGACCTGTGTTACGTGAACACCAATCACAGTTAACTGTTTGTGAGACCGCATTAGTCTTTTGTGTTTTAAGCAATGCTTTCTTAGAACACAACCACGGATCACCCAAATGCTCACACGTAAATCCTGCTGGGGAAACATGCAGGAAGTAGAGGTTAGTTTCCATGATTCCAAGCAAGATGTAGATTATACAGCTGAGAACTTTTGCTTTACTTTGTTCTCGTTTGTTTAATACTTATTCTGTTATACACTGTACACAACTTATTATCTATGCTGTTCTATGCTGGCTAAGATAAAGCAACTTTATCAGCTTCAACTCCCACTGTTTCCAAAGCATGTGCGAATTGTTTTTCCCTGACGCTGTTCATAGCTGATAGCAGGAGAAGACCGTTGTTCACGATATAGATTCTGATTTCTAAGCTTCAAAGGGGAACTGTTGTCAACAAAACAATAATCGAACTGATGAAATGATAGTTGTGATGAGATAAAAGTCTGCAAGATTAATTTTGGGCGTGTAGATCAATATCTGGTGTGTCCACCATGTTGGTTGATACATGCACGGCTTACTGTTGAGTAACTTGCCCATGGTTGCCCTTTTTATTGTCCTACATTACTAGAGCTATCCCAAGCTAGGCCACGTTGACAAGAACTTGGTCTCTGGGGTACATTCTCCACCTGAGTATATCCCACAGATGTCAGGGGATTATGTCCTCTTGTCGGAGACGGTGACAACCTGTGCAGCATGTCTGGCATTGTCATCTTCCAGTTTATATATTCTTGTGAGAAAAATGTCTGTCAAATCAAATGCCCATTCACAGTAACCAAATCAGTTCATCTGTCATGTGTGATACCGCCCCACACCATGACACTACCAACCCCATACTGATCATGTTCAAGGATTATTGTCCTGTCCCTGCTATGTCACCCAAGACGGATTTTGACGGTAAATGCTGAAATTTGCTTTCTTGTACGAAGGCTGGTCAAAGAGTTTGAAGCCTAACATACAAAACCAACAATCATGAAATTGCTTTTAATTTTATTTTTCATCATAATCTCCCTGCTTTTCAAAACACTTCTCATATCGATAGTGAAACTTTTAATTCCAGTCAGGAAGAAGTGTCCTGAAGCCACGCTGAAATGACCATTCACGGCAGCTTTGAGGTCATCATTGTCATCATAGTGGTTTCCGCGGAGTTGTTCTTTCAGTTTAGAAAACAGTTGGAACAGGTCTTGCCAGTATAGAGAGTGAGGAAGCTCTTCGACCCAACAGTCAGCATTATTCACCGCGTTTCTTTCATAGAATCTCTCAGGCGATGAAGCAAATCAGCAATGTAGGCACCAGCAATCGTCTTTTCACTTTCTCAGTAATCAACAAGGATCACACCCTTTGCATCCCAGAATACAGTGGCCATAACTTTCTTTACTGATCTTGAAGACTTGAATTTCTTTGGTGCCGGCTATATGCATGGTGCCATTCCATGTTTCATTAAGTGTTACTATTTCCTTTTGAATTTGACGAAATCCTATTCAATTAACTCTACATTTTCTTTGGCAATGTCAGTACTTTTTTCCTTAAGATCAGAATTTAGAATCTTTGGCACCCAACGAGCAGATATCTTATTTATCTGTAAATGTTCATGAATAATAGTTTCTGTGGATCCTTGGTTTAGACCTGTGTTTTCCTCAAGTCAACATGGTAATATGTCTATCGGATAGTATAAAGTTTTCTATCTCCTTGATTGAACCTTCATTGATGGAAGCCTTAAACATAGCTGCCCAACATTTAACAGAGGAATAGCTGGGGCAATTATACCCATACACTTCTGACATAAGTTCTGGATTTCTTGGGGAGTACTTTTCTCTAAAGTCAAAAACTTGATGCCTGATGGGTACTTGTTCTTTTCCATTTGTGTCCATTGGGACCCATATCACATTCAACTGGCTGTCACAAATATACAAACGGCCTTTTATTTCCGGATTATTTCCGTTTGGTAGACGCTGAAGTGTACCAAGAATCTGGACCATTTCTACAGCTTGAGCAAAACTGCCATAGATGACTTATGTTTAGGATATTTCCCAATTTGACGCATATCACCAAAGTGATATCCAATGCAATTCCCTATTTTGACTTGACTGTGCCGTATGTTTAAGTATTTATCTTGCCTTTTCATGCGTCTGTGATGCTACCATTTCGAGAACACTTGGTACCAGAGAGAGAGAGAGAGAGAGAGGGAGGTTTATATCTATAAATTTTATTACAGTCCATTACTATGGGAAGGGAACATATTTTGCTGTCAGTACAGACTACTCTGCCTCCGGTTACTCCCCTCCAAATGAAGATGGTATCAAGCACGTCTATTACGCATCTGTCCTCACTGGACACTTCACTGAAGGAGAAGGAGACATGGTAGTCCCCCCACCTCTAGACCCCGAACACCCAAGCATCCTGTACGACAGTTTGGTTGACAACGTGGATAATCCCAATATGTATGTTGTGTTTAACGACGTCCAGGCCTATCCCAAGTACCTCATCACATTTCGGGAGTAAAGAAGAACATGGAACAGTGAAGAATGTGACTCTGATGTTTGAATTTGTGTCTACATACATAACCATTACACGACACGCAATCAACCATGTCTGTCCGACAAGAACTGGGTATTTATTCTCAACCTACGGTCGTTCAAGGTGTTAATGTGTATGCTGCATGTGAATATATGATTAATTTAATATTTATCTACATATTTGAATATAGTTCATGTGATTCTAACCAACAATATTCCATACTGTTTTGGGTATAGCAACAGTCGATTGGCTCATGAATATTTGTTTAAAACAGATGAGGATTTTCAGAGTGGTTTCTTATTATGAAGTAGCAAATCGGAAAGATCCTTTTATCTGGTTAATTGGTTGATTGCTTGTTCTTTTTACTGGGATATCATTTTAAATACATCTTTAGGAATAAGCAATTAGCAATAAGTTGTAAACATGAAGTTCTGAACAACTATCTTGCTATTTTTATATATGGAAAGATAAACTGTTGATGTGTTCTTGTTACTTGTATCTTTCTGGTTTGCTTTACATTGTGTAATAATGATTTAATGTATTGACAGATTTTACAAATGTGTATTTTGTTCTGCTTGGTGTATAGCTATGGTATTATTGCTTGAATATAAAATTTGAACATATTTTAGTAAACATATGACACACAAACTTATCAAATGCTTCTTAAGTTTTACCCGCTCTATATTGCTATAGGGAAAGCGTCAATAAACGAAAGAGGATGTAAACGTCTTAAAACACATGCATACACTACAACCGCAATGTTCAACAATGTCTGGATAACTGAAAACATTACGGTACCTCGATCGTGCGTTTGAACGAGCGGCTTACCGTTTGCGTGAAACAACAGGCTTATATACATATAGCCTGTTGGCTGGGATTAAAAGAATAACACAAATACACAGAAAGTAAGAGGTTGTTCCAGAAATCTTAAATTTATTTTCATTGTTTACTTTCACTACTTCCAGGGCTGGATGTAACACAAACAGTTGTCATGCATTTTATTTCGACGTTGCTTCATAATTTTATTAATGTGTGCGTTTTAGTTGGATAAAAATTTTCATTATTCTTAGAGTAATTGACTTTTAAATATGTTCTAGTTTTTTTTAGCTACATGATTGAGATTCGAAAATTTGCTGTCTTATGTTCGACTTAAAGTCATATTATTAATGTCAAATGTGGTGGTTGGTTGGTTGGTTGGTTGTTTAACGCCGCACTCCGCAATATTTCAGCTATATGACGGCGGTTGGTAAATAATTGAATTTGGACTAGACAATCCAGTGATTGATATCATGAGCATCGATCCACGCAATTTGGAACGATGACATGCATCAACCAAGTCAGCGAGCCTGACCATCCTATCCCGTTAGTCGCCTCTTATGACGAGCATAGTCGCCTTTTACGGCAAGCATGGGTTGCTGAAGATTGGTCTCAAATGTGGTGGAAAAACAAATGTAGGATATAGTTGTGTATGTCAGTGTGTCATAGCTCAACACATGTTTGTTTCAAAGAATACTGATATATATGTTCTTTATTCCTCCATGGGTGAATTAAATAGAGAATCTCACCCGAGTGTCTTTTGATATCAAATATATCAACACGAGTTGATAAAAGTGGCAAAATTCCGAGGCTTGCCGAGGATTTTTGCCACTTTTATCAACGAGTGTTGATATATTTGATATCAAAAGACACGAGGGTGAGATTTTATTTTTCATCCAACATCATTCTATCAACTTTTTCAATTTGTATACATGTACAGTAATTAGCAGTGTCTTCAGTGTAAAAAGTACTGAAAACAGCTTCAGTAGCAGAGCCATTAGTGATGTCATTTGATTGTGACGTCATGGTAACCAGTGACGTCACAATGGTCTGCAAAGCATTGTGATGTCATCTACAGTGTAGATATTGCTTGATCTCATCCAAGCCATATCTCCTGTGGGAGCCAGTTTTGGATGATAAATGGTAAAAGTTACATTACACAGTATATTGTTTCATGACATTACATAATGATTGGAAATCATGAGATGAATATATTTCAATTGTTTCTGATAGGCATTATGCATATATAGATGGTGCATAGTCTTACCCATTTATGGTGTCCCCCCTGTCATGATATTGCTGGAATATTGCTATAAGCGGCGTAAAACCACTATAACCAGGGTATTTTGGAAAAAGGGTTTTTTAATATTTACTTAAAATGTAGTTTACTAAATGAAGCTTTTGGGTAAAATATGGATGCATATGAGAGAAGTGACCGTACAGGGTCAGGGCAACACTCCTGGGGCAAGTGATTATTGGTTTTGCTTCTCTTAAGTGATAGAGTTTACTTTTCATTAGTACAATGAATTAGTAGAATTGGTCTTGCAATAAAAATGTCAGAAGGGAGATAGATAGATGGAACAAAATTGTTAGTCTTGTGGTGATCAAATATTTATGAGTATTACTACTTGATTAGAATGTCAAAATAACATGATTAAGTATCTTTTCGGTGCCTTCCAGTCTGGCAGAGTACTTGAGGGTATTTGATTATATGAGTATGTCCGAGTTGACCAATGACCCTAGAGAGGTAATCAAATTGGTTAGACCAAGGGGCTTGATGATAAAACTAATTACTATGGAAATTGGGGAATGACCATTATGACTCATTTCTCATGATGTCAAATGTGATTTTGGAGGGAGGAGCTAAAATTATCATCGATAGTATTTTGTTAGTTGTCCAAGAGTGGTGCGGGGAGTCGGGAGCATACAGCTGAACAGAAAGGTTCACTGTGGTTTTGGGATCCCGAGTCAGAAAAGAAGTAGAGTTAAATGTTCATCAGAAAAACCATCAGGCTCTTCAACCATCATCTAGGTATGTGTTGTATTTATATCAGGCAACAACAAGAACATATCTGAGGACCATGTGTGTGTATTTATGATTAATTCTATCATAAATAAAAAGGACTGGAGCAAACCATCTGACTTGTGATTTCAAGAGAGCTACATCATCCCTAGAACCAAAGAGTAGTTGATAAGTAGAAGTGACCATAGGTAGAAGGGTAAAGTACCCGGAACCTAAGGTTACATATGGCGGAAATGCTCTAAGATCACCGTACCATGCTCATCGCAAGTTTGAACGGTTTGCACCTGCAGCTGAGTTGCTGGACACTTGTTGGTTGTTAGCCTGACACGAGCCGATGCTATTTGCCATTCACGGTAGGTGATGTCCTGTAAAGCGTGAATTGATTGTGAGGGATGTGTTTTGCCCTTGTATTTGTGAACTATGCTTACCAGCGGGACTATGGTTCACTGTTTGAAAGCCGTGGGGTGGTCAGTTCCATGAAGAGACTGTGTTATTGATTTCTTTGGTAGTACGGCAACTACCATAACAGTGATATTAATTTTCTAGTGTGGGACAGTCACACTGATAGAGGACCCTTGCTGCACGCTGGTGTGCATAGGAACTTTCTGTGGTATTATAAGACTGTTATTATCTCTCATCACCAACAATGAGCACGAGAAGTCTTGAAATTATGATGTTGAATTTGGATATATTGTCAGGGAAGAACCAAAGTGACTCAAAATGTTTCATGACAATGAAAATTGTTCTGCCTCTGATATTACAGAGACAAATGACAGTTTATTTTCAGAAGGCCTTGGAAAGAAGAACAAATTAGACAAGAGTTTTGCTGCTTTAGCAAGGGCTTTTTTCCCTAAGTCAGTTTTCTCTTGAGAAATTCAATGGAAGTGATCCAGAAATTGCAAGTTCATGGTAAAGCAGATATGAGAAATTTAATTCTTTACATAATTATTCAGAAGAATAGACAAAGACAGCATGTAGTTTATGGTTAGACAAAAATGCTTTAAAGTGGTATGAAGCTCAAGACTTTACTGAAAAGTCCTGGAATGAGGTGAAGACAGCTTTCCTTGCAAGGTACAAACTAAGTTCAGCAAAAAGATATGAAAGACTAGACAAGCTTTATGATAGGAAACAGAAACAGTCTGAGGATTTTGAGGACTTTCTTCAAGAATTGCAATATGAGGCAAAATGTCTTGATAGACTGGACGACGACTTTCTCATGAATGCCGTCATTAGGAATTCTCAACCTCACATTAAACAGTTCATTTTGACAAGATTGCATGAGACCAAGGATCAAGTCCTGGAAAGTGCGAGAATAGCAGATGCTGCATTTGGACTGGCCACATCAGAGAATGACAGACTTGTCTCTGTTATAGAGGAGCTGGTTGGACAAGTATCCTTATTGACCAGTGCAGAAAATACTCAAACAGGAGGGAACTTTTCATATGAGCATCAGGATAACTCTATGTACAGAAAGCAGTACATTAAATCTGCAATTGAGTGTACTGATGACCAACAACCAGTGAAGAACGTGACACAAACATTCCGTCAATATCACAGAATTGGTTGTACATCAACACATGTTGATATCAGGGACATGAGTGACAATGATGTGCCCTGTGGACAAAACTGGAGCCCTGCTCCAAGGAATATGAACACGGAGGAGCATAGGGTGTCACAACCACAATTATGGAATATTTGTGGACAATGTGGTAGGACACATTTTAGTATGTCTGAGAGTCTTGCGATGTTTTCAATGCTGTAGGATAGGCCACCTAAACAGATTCTACTTTTCTAATTAAGGCAAACGTGTGCAAGGGTTAACAGGGGTAGTGCTACATGTGGATTTGAGCCTGCCGCCAATATAGCAAATATTGATTTTGATAATGTTGGTAACATCATAGGCCACCCTTTTACAATGAGAAATAATACAGAACCAGATCATAGAAATGATAAGTGATTTGAGTGTGGGCTTATCTCACAGCAGTATTAGGGTTAAGATATCTGGAAAGACTTACAGTGCCCTATGTGACTCGGGTGAAACTTTGAGCTGTATGAATTCAAATGTATTCTCATCTATTGGAGGTGAGAGTAGATTTCCTATAACAAAATGAGGTGCAAGGTCATTGGTTGGTGCGGATGGAAAGCCATTAGATGTGTTAGGCATATCTAAAATTCCTCTTACAGTTGGTCAGCTATCTGTTGTACAGGACTTTCAGGTCTTTTAGCCTTATCAGTTGATGTGTTGTTAGGCTTAGATTTCTTGAGAAGCCAGAAGGCTAACATTGATGTTAGCCATAATGGGTTGATTTTGTGGGATGGACTTACAGAGACAAAGTTCATTGCCTATTCTGATTATTCCAACATTGTTACATGTATATGTGATGTGGTACCACCACCACTCATCAAGACCTTGTTGCCGGTGTACGTTAATGACCCAGATATAGAGTTAGGCATCGTCGAGCGAATTGAGTCTATTGCAGAATGGTTACATGTGTGAGGTGCTAGATATATCACTTCATCTGTCAATCAAGTACCATTGTTTAGGTTGATGAACCATGCTAGTTCAGAGATTTAGTTAGCAATCGGTGTCATTGAAGAAGTCGATATTGCCAATGTGTATGGAGAGTTAGGAGACAGTGACAACACACATACCATACCTATCACCACAGGTGACAAAGCATTCAACCATGTTGATATTGACGGGACTCAATCATTAGGTGACAGGAATATGAATATCCAAATATGAAATGGCAGTTGATAAGTCGTAGGGGAATGCAATACCAAGTCCGGGTGTCTCGAAAAGAGAAGGGGTCCTAAGTGAGTTTCTCAATTCAGAAATTGTGGAGGATTTCCATGTCAGAAGAACAATGACAGGGAAAGTGAAGAAAGAAAACAACAAAAAGTAAACAATAGAACTGCACGTAAGGAAGGGTGACAATCATATAGGTATATGATATACGGAGGATATGTAGATCCAAGGTTATAATAACAAGTTGGTTTTAGTCCCAAGTTATAGTGTCATGTGTCAAAGCAAATGGGTACCCAGATAGGAAATCAAGGATGATAATGAAAAGTCGTAGAGGTAACATGCCTACGTAGATATGAGATGATGAACAACGTCGTAGAGGTAACATGCCTACGCAGATATGAGATGATGAACAATGTGGTAGAGGTAACATGCCTACGTAGATATGAAATGATAGTAAGTCGTAGAGGTCACATGCCTACGC